TATGTAGCTCTAATAAATAACTTGTTAAATATTTTACCTTAAGATTATCAACTTTTGAAAAGTAAAAAAATATCAAATTATGGATAATAATCAAAATTCATATAGAAGTTTGTTGAATGAAATAAAATTTTGTATTATTATGAATATATAATATCAATGAAAAGTAATTAATTAATCATTTTTATAATAATTAATAGTATATTTTAAATATTATTTTAAAACTTAATTCACTCATTTTTTTAATTCATCAATTTAAAAATGGAAAATTAAAGAAAAATTTATGTCTACTTTTAATATCTTAAAAAGAATTTACTAAAATCTTAATACAAATTGAGTCTTTATATCTAATATAATATCTTATGACAATCTATAATAGCAATAAATATTGTCAAAGAAAAGTTTTGATATTCATCATTTGTGATAATTTATATAATTGATACTAAATATGTCATCTTGATGAAACAATCTATTATCACAAATATATAGTCATAAGAACTTGAGATTGGAAGATCAATTATAAAATTCATAAAAAAAAGACCATGGTTGTCTTGGTAAAATTAATAGTTGAAGAAGTCTATAAGGTCAATGACAAGGAATTTTTGATCTTCAATAAATATCACATGATTGTACAAAGTCTTAAACTATCTTCTATATTTGAAGCCATATGAATCTTTAGATATTAAGTCTAAAGTCTTATTGTATCCATATTATCTTACAATTGAAAGATTGTCATAAACTTAAACAGCATATAATTTTGTTTTACTTTCTTGAATATATAAGCATCTCATAAAATAAAAAATATATTTTTAAATTTAAAATTAGAAGAATCATGAAATTTAAAAATATTATTTTCGGTATTATTAATAAAAACATTTAAAGATATATTCAATTAAATTTAATTACAAAATATTAAATCAAAAAATAATTTTGATTTTATTGCTTTAAGATGAAATTACTTTAGCTTTAAAAGACTTATTTATTATTGATCAAAAAACACATTTTTTTATTTTAGTATAAGATAAGAACATTTAAAAAAGATAACTCATAATTCATATTATTTTTATAATCAATAAATAATATTAAATTTAAAACTTGATAAAGACATACTTTAATAAGTTTAGTGATAATTTAAAATATGTGATGATATAAAATATTTGAGATTTTTGTATTTTTTATAAACAATTACTAAATCAAAAATATCTAAAAAATATTGGTGCTATTTTCATAAAAAATTAATAGTTACAAGAAGTTTTTTATTATGGATCTTATAATTGATCTTTATTATTAAAAAAATTCTTAAATAAAAATTTATTGAATGAATTTTGTCATATTTTTCCTATTTATAATAATATCATACTCAATACAAAGTCTGATGCATCTATTTTCATAAAAAAAATGTTTTAAAAAAAATCAAAGCAATACAAGATTAATATGTAAATAAAAGCTATCTTTGAAGCTTCAAATTCTGCTTTAGCTTCTTTATTTTACTTAAGTTTTTTTATTTTTTACAAGCCAAAGATATAAGTAGTGTTATAACTTGAAAAAATATTAAATATAAAATTTAATAAAGAGCTAATAATAATTAGCAAATCTCAAAAAAAAACATTGTATATCGCTTATTGTTATTGAAATCTTTCAATCCATGATAGTTTGAACTTTCTTAATCCATAATAAGACCATCATTTGAAATGATAAATGCTAAGAAGTCAACTCAAGTATTGTGAAATACACACTTCTCTATCTTGGTATATAGCCTTGCATCTCTAAGTTTTTGTAATACTTGAGGCTTTAGAACATAAAGTTTATACTTTTTTATATCTTTAGAATAGATTAAAATATTTTTTATATAACAAACAATAAAATCATTTCAAACTCTCAAAATCATAAGTCATTAGATATTAAAAAATAATTGGTACATTTTTATTTCAAAAAGAATGATATTATATTTGAAATACATATATTCAATTCAAAATATAGCCTTTTATTCATTTTCTTCTTTAACGCATATTAGATTGTATGCTCTTTGTAGATCTATTTTTGTATAGATCTTTGTTTGATTTAATTGATCAAAAACTCTTGATATTAAAAATAGAAGATATATATTTTTAATAGTAATCTTACTAAATCTTCAATAATCCACATACATCTATAATAATTTGTCTTTATTTTTTAATACACAAGATAGAAGCTCATGTAGGAGATTTTAAATGGCATATAAAGGTTTTAGTAACGTTTTCATTAATATATTCTTTAAGCATAGCCAATTCATTTTGTGATATGTTATAGATTGGTCCAAATGGCAATTGAGTTCTTTCTTAAAGATCAATTGACTAATCATAAGGACAATGCTTTAAAAGCATATTTACATTCTTCTTTTCAAAGATATCTTGATAATCTTTATACATGCTCAAAATATTATTTGAAGTCTTTCCACTATCAAAAATAGATGTAATATATATATATATATATATATATATATATATATATATATTCATATACATATTATAAATGAATATAATTTTGGTAATTTTAAAAAATATTTTTAAATAATCTCTCTAATTTTATATTTGGCAATTTATATCCAACTCACTATTCTACTATAATGCTAGAAAGTACTAATATGTTATTAAATTTACAAGAAGATATCATTTATTTTATCTATTAATTTATTTTAGTTTAATATACTAAATAAATTAGATTAACAAGTCTTTGTGTTGCAAATACAATGTAGCATTTATAGGCTAAATTAATATATAAAAAATTATACCTCTTAAGAATCCTTTGCTTGTACTTTTAAGTTTGGATGTAAGGCTTTTATTTTGCACCTCCTTAAATTAGTTAAAACAACTTGTGATGAAAAAAGAATATTTTAAGAAGTGTATTGAAGTGCCTAAATTTTACTCTTTATGATTGGAGCTATTTGGTAAGACTCAAACACCTCAATTCTATACACATGAGTGCTTGCAAAGAGTTGCTCATATACAAAATGTAACACAAAAACACAGATATTGGTTTATATTTTAAAATTTTCAATTTAAGAAAATAATGATAATTTTTATGTAATAAAAATAATGATAATTTTTATGTAATAAAAATAATGATAATTTTTATGTAATAAAAATAATGATAATTTTTATGTAATAAAAATAATGATAATTTTTATGTAATAAAAATAATGATAATTTTTATGTAATAAAAATAATGATAATTTTTATGTAATAAAAATAATACACCACAACATATTATTTAAATATAAAACCATAACCTATAATTAATTTTAAAACTTAAAATATATGCTTGTATACTTTATTCTATAATCAATAAAAAATTTTATCTCATTCCAAATAAAATAAAGGAATTCTCTTCAAAAGGCATTTAAAAGAAAACAATTGTAACTACTTTCTCATGGACCTTTACTTTTCATAAGGTTTGAAGGAATCTTCCTATATGAATTATTAATCTATGAAGATGAGACGTGTACAAACAATTCTTTTGTGTTAATTTTGTGTAATATAGAATAGCTTGTCTTCTAATGAATCTCAAGGTCATTTAACACGTCAATCTTTTCTCTCATGTTTTTACCAAACACAAGATTTTGAATGGAAACTAACCATAACAATTTTCCATCAAACGCTTACTGTTCAATTCAAGCTTTTTAGGAACAACAAAATCATGTGAATTTGGCTCGTAGACATCTCCAATAGAAGATTACATGGGACCAATGTTTCCTCAAACAATCACAAGTAATATAGTACCATGTGGGAGGACCTCATAACAGTCCCAATCATAAATCAAGGATGGATTCTTGTCGTGGTTTGGAATCTGAACAAACATGGCATTAAACTGTCTACTAGATACACCAATGGAGCTCTTATTAAGCTATTTTTGAAGCCATCTCAGCCTTCTCAACCTCTTTTTCTCCTCACAAGCCCTGCCTGTTATGGAGCCATCACAGAACAGCTAGTTTCTGAAAGTTAGCAAGGCTTGATCAGTTCTTAAAAAACACAGTCCATTGTGGGGGGTCAAGATGAAAAGACTCCACCAAAACTGAGTCTTTTAACATGGTGAGGTACTTCCAAAACCAGATGACACTGCGGGATTTTAAGGGTTATGAGTGGTCGCGTTTGGGGGGGGGGGGGGGGGGGGGATTAAAAAAAAAAAAAAAAATCTAATTTCAGGGGGGGTTTACATATCACGGACCTGCTGACGATTTGGATCACATTCAATAGATTCCCATACCACCGGGTTTGCGCTGTGATGGCTAGTCGGTAAACATCCTCAGCAACTCCATGGTCATGTCAAATTCTCCATGCCAATGTTAGACGACGATTATGCAGCCAGTGACTCCAATTTGCACGTTTCCGATTCGCATCGGTCTCCCTAGTGCCAGTCAGAAATATCAAAATGCTCGAGTTGAAGCTCTCTATAATCTGACTTGGCCTGCCGAGACGTCACCCAAATCTGGCTCAACTCTTTTGGTTCAACAGACTCTGCAGTCTTTAGAGAATCCTGGTAAAAGGAGGTAGTTTCTTTAACGACCAATAACTGATCAGGTTGGCCTTTTTCTATTCCTGAGGAGACCTAGTGAGTCAGAATAAAATAAAAACAAACAAAATGAACAATAAGAAGAATTCGAAGAAACCGAAGAAAGAAAGCAGAAGTAACGACACGTTGCAATAATTATCGTTAGCCACTGTTTCGAAAGTTGGCAATTGACCAGTCGAAACCCTTGCAACCATCTCTAATATTTTAGGGACATGTATGCACTTCGCACCACACACTTTTCCTGAACTTGCACACAGATTGCAATGATTTATCCTGGAAATCTTCATCTTCTCATGTAATTGTTAAATCTTACAGTGCTCGAAATTGTAAATTTGGAGGTACGTTCCTAATGATGAAACTTTTCAACACACTGATAGCGCTGCCGAACCACCATGACGAATAATTCCAGCTGCAGTGGACCCCTTTTCCCAAGTTCTAAGAAGAGGAAGCTACACAGCTGCATCATCACTATTCCTGCTCGTTTTTCATCCTAGCTTAGCCTCTTTCTAATTGAATTACGAGGTAATTTTGATGCTTTGGGAATTAGTAGGGTGTTGGGCATGGAACTAAAGCGAGTATAAAAGAAGGGTGCGTGGGGGTTCGTATGGGTGGTACACGGATCACGCTTCTGTTGGGAGGTTTAGAAGGTGTGGAGCGAAACGATAGCACAATACGTGGTATCAAATTTAACTCCATGGATAAATTTGTCTGAAGCATCGCTGTCGTTCCGTCACGGACCTTCGAATTTGATTGATTTCTGCTCTTGTTTTCCTAGCCATGTTGTTTGATGAGAATGATGACGCTTGGCGACGACGGACATTTCAACGAAGTTTTTTCTCGTGATTGTAGGATAGATAGCAATTTGTTACAACTGCTTTGTTGAATTTGGCTGAAAGAGCAGTCTGCGCCTCTTCCTGGAGCATTCCTATATACTCGGTTCAGGTGAGTTGACGCCACGTTCAATTTGTAGCATGTAGGGTATGACCAAGTTCATGTTTTGCTCTCTCACCAAGAATCTTGACCTCAAACGAAAAAATTGCATGTTGTGGATGGCATGATTGAGGAGACATCACGCAGCTTGTAAGAATCGTCTAATGATGCCAATGTCTGAAGGTTTGGGGCTGATAAAGGTTCTATAAGAAGGTGATGACCATGACGAGCAATCAAGTGCGGAACAAGCAGATCAAGCTCAAGCATTATGTCTTGGGAAAATTGGAAGAATCGGACTTCCAAATCTCTTCGAACGAGATCACCCTGGAATTGAATGACAATAACGATGTTCTTGTGAAAAATCTTTACCTATCTTGCGACCCGTACATGCGACACCGGATGAGAGGGGAAACCAATTCGTATATCCCTCCTTACCAAGAAGGACAGGTCCATAATCCCATTCCCTCTGATTTGAACGTAACCGAATCATTTGTCAAGTAGGTTGTGCATCACTACAGACACTTGTCAAGTAAGCTTCTGGTGATGTCTGTTACTGTAATGAAATTCAATTGTTGGCTGCTCCATCTGTGGGTATGTCAGGTTTTGGATGGGTACGGTGTGAGCAAAGTGGTTTTATCCAACAATTCAAGCTTCAAAGTGGGGGACTGTGTTTCCTCCTGGACAAGATGGGAAGAGTATAGCGTCATTCCTAGAGGTCAGCGTCTCAAAGTCATCGATCCTGCCCTCGCCCCACTTTCTTACCACGCAGGTGCCCTTGGTAAGTTAATCGATAGCAGTCAGTGGTGGCTCACACATCTGCTTCCTCACCTCATCACAATTCTTGGAAATGAATTTGTGTAAGAAATTGTGTGTACTAATTTACAATCTATGAGGGGTATTCATGGTGAGCGTTTGCTGATGTTCCAGGGATGGCTGGCTTTACAGCTTACGTTGGGTTCTTTGAAGTGTTGAAGCCCAAAAAGGGAGAGACACTCTTCGTATCTGCAGCATCGGGAGCAGTGGGTCAACTGGTGGGACAACTCGCCAGAGACGCGGGCTTGTACGTGGTTGGCAGCGCAGGATCACAGGAAAAGGTGATGCAATCATCGAGGACAACCCTTTTGAACTGCCACTGTAGTCAGGGTTACTTTCGGGTCTGTTCTAGAATGCATATTGGTAGGCACACTTGGGCATTGAAGACCAAGACTGTCATAAGCTGAATGAGCTAACCCTTGGCAAATCCGTTTCAGATTGACTTGCTCACGAACAAGCTCGGATACAATGCCGCATTCAACTATAAAGAGGAACCGGATCTCGTTGCTGCTGTAGCAAAGTACTACCCTGACACCCTTTGCAACAGCACTATAAATAACTGCCTCCGTACAAACAGTGTCGTCTGTCTTGGAAACCCTCTCATTCCTACATACACGTTTGTTGTGCGATGATGCAGGTACTGTCCTCAAGGCGTCGACAAGTACTTCGAGAATGTGGGGGGCAAGACGTTAGATGCGGTCCTTGACAACATGAACAATTTCGGGCGGGTAGCAGTATGCGGATTGATCTCGCAGTACGATCAAGGCGGACAGGACGGCGTCTACAATCTCAAGAGGATAATCAACAAACGGGTAACGCTACAAGGGTTTCTGCAGTCGGATTACCTTCACTTAGAGCCCAAGTTCATGGACCACATGTCGAAGCTCATTAAGGCTGACAAGCTGGTGTACTTCGAAGACTTCGCCGAGGGCTTGGACAACGCTCCCAACGCATTCTGCAGGATGATGATCGGCTCGAAGATCGGGAAACAAGTCATCACTGTAGCCAAGGATTAGCGATTCCTCGCTCAATCCCCGTGCGCCTCGAGAGGAACACACACAGAGCGCAGAGAGGCTCCAGAGAGTTGAGGTCCGTGACCAGCTCCGAGCGAGTGGGCTACAGAAATGCTACTAAACAAAGCTCCGCGGCTCCGTATATAACAAAATTTTCCTACACTTATCGTGTGATTTTTGCCCCGCCTTGGGTCTGGCCCGTCTTTGTAATTCCCGTCTCCGTGCCGATTTTTGAATTTAAATATCTAAATCTGAATTTTTGAAATTCGTGTTCTTTGCTTTGAGCCCGCTGGGGCCACAAGTTAACATGGTTAGTCGTGGAGACAAAAAAAATTCTCATGGTAGAACCTCAATGTGATTTGCTTTAGGGTAATAAAAGGTTTAGGGTTTTGAAAAGTAGCACAGTATTAAAGGTGTGGTAGTAGTAATATATACATATATAGAAGGGAATGTTGAATAGACCCATATTTTTACAAAATAGACTCACTTTTGACAGAATATGGTAATCATGATGAATGTGGTTGGTTTTTATCGGTTGTATATCCAATAGCAGGGAAATGAATATAGATGTCATTATTTTTTTATATGATGGTAGGTCAATTTAGTAAAAACTTGGGTCTATTTAACATTCTCCTATATATATATATATATATATATATATTTTTTTTTTTTTTTTGTTAAAACATCAAATTAAAGTTAACTAAATTGTTTATTGTTTTGAGGTTCCAAATGAAAACAATTAACTAATCTGGAATGAGTATACATGTATAGTAATTACAAGTATATACAATATTACTTTTGACAAAAAAAATTACAGCATAGGATGAGTAACTTTTGTTTCAGTATATGTATATATATAAATGATTAAAGAGGGATTAGCTAGGATATTTAGAAGTCTTGCATTGCTGGGAGATATTTGAGTTTCGTACAAAAGATCTTTTGTTCTACAATAATGTTGTCTGAGATGCCTGCTGTAAAGACCTCTTTACCCACACTGCATAATTGCCCAGTTCTACTGCAGTTTGAAGGCGGATTCTGACAAGGAAAGGGGAGATGTCCTCCCCCATTAGTGCACATGCAGAGGGTGTGACATTGCATGAGCTTGACACTCCAGTTTCTCACCTCCAATTTTGATAGTTCACCTAGATTGATAATCACAGCACTTGGATCCAGACTTTCTCTTGAATTCTCAAGATGAGATGCTACCATGAAGTCGAACAATAGCTATCTCCAGCAACCTCAGCAAAATACTTTGCAGGATCAGCATAATGTATAGAGCAACAAAGTTGTTGTAAGCCACACATATGATCTGCTTAACTGAGACGGACTCGTCTGTCCGCAGTACAGTGAAGAGTATGAGATAATGGTGGTGTATTCAGCGGCAAATGCTGAAGAGTTGAATTACCTGGGTCAGAGAAAGAGTGTTGCGATGGAGAGTAGACACTTGACTTGCAACGACGAACAAAGTGGGCACACACGTCCAGCGACAAACAATCAACCTCAAGTTTGGAAATGAGTGAATGCCATGAAGCAAGTTAGATCGACCACCAGGAGCTAAAGAAAACTGTCGAGTATTCCACCTATGCTAGAAAAGGCGGTTACACTGTTGAAAAAGTGAACCCTTCGGATGTTATATGCCACTTATGTACACTAACTTCTTATGGACGTACCATATCTACCCTGCCTGTCTGGTAACGCCCCCAGTTTGAAACCAGAACCAATTCTCATATCGACGAACCTTCAACCATGAGCAGTGCACAATTCAGATTTATTCTACACCTGCATATTTAACCGGGAATCCCTAGGATATAGAAGAGCTTTCGATGGCAAACCTCCCTGGATAACGAGTACCGTTACCTGACAACCGATTTCTATGTTAAATCCTCCTGCAAGACAAGAAGTTTGTATCTTGCGTCTTGTACTTTCATGGTTGCAGGAGCTGGGGTGACAAGATCCCTATCTTTGCACTCAAACTACAGCCCTCACAGGGAATTCAAACCAAGGCTTTACAGACGCTACAGCTTCAGACATGTACTGAAGATGCCAATCAAAAGTGTATAAGACTATGCAGTTTATATTCCGAACGTCTCTGCAATTTACGTACGGGAGCCGGCCCGTACTGGAAAACTTCTCCATCCTAGAAGCGCCAGCAGATGAATTTCCGCTGTAGCCAATTTTCTCGTAGACACTCCAGCGCAACCTGCAACTTCGCTTGTTCTGGGGACAGTAATTTGGGCTTCATCTAAACTCGAGGCTAAATGGAGGCAAGCTGCCAGGGTGATACGCATGCCTGAGTTTGAGAGGACGGTTGGAGCCATTGCGCGGGATATCTTGCGAAACATGCGCAACGCAAGAGGGACAGTTCCAGGGCTGCTTAGATGCAAATCCCAGTGCCATTTTGCCAACATTCTCATCACCCTGGATGTCGAGAAAACTGCCGACTGTTGCGTGCGGGTGAAAGATGCCCTTATCTGTGTTCTGTCCACCCGCTGTCGCTTGGCTGATGAAAGTAAGAGATTGGTGAGATCTCTGTTACTAGACTCAACTTCTTGGGATTGGGGTCTATTCCAATCCCTTGCTTCAAAACTGGGATCCTGGTTGGCATGAGAAACTCTTCGCGTACTTGAAGAAAAAGAGGCAGTGCTATCACACTCACACTGAAAAGACAACAAAAGGACTTTCAGGACATTGACCTTGCTCACACGAGAAACTTGTCGGCAAAATATTTAATTACAAAAACTGCAATAAAAGGTTTTCAACTGCTTTCACTCACGATTTGTCAAGTTTGTTACGAGTTTCAACCAAAAATCAGAGCACAGAAGCTAACACAAACATAAACATGGTTTTAGGATTTTTGGGTAGGCAGCGGATAAACTCAGTAGGGGTGAAATCGTACACTTCCATCTCTGTTATCTGGATATGGTCAAGCTATGATTAGTGGGAAAGACTTGAAGTAGAAGTTACCTGTCCATGCGCAACGCTTCTCATATCATCTTCCAGCGTACTCACCACAATCTGCTTGCTTAGTGGAACAGACACAGGCAAGAAGCAATCCAGCGACCTCTTCCTCTTAAGCGACTTTGGGATACCTAAGGATACACTCCCTTGAGCACCCCTGCTGTCTACAGTAATGCCTTCCATGTCTTCACTGCTAAGTTGAGAAATACTACTTTCGCAGGGCGAAGTCTGCACCAAATCCATTTCCACTATCACGGCACTCTCACAGCTCTCTGGTTTGCTAGATGAACACCCGCTTTCATAACCCGAGTCTGCGCAGCCTGCAATAGGATGAGCTCTAACAGTGACTCTCGAAGTGTCAATTACACCTCCATGGCTGTGAGTAGTGCATTCATCCTGCGATTCCCCCTGAGAACACTCTGCGCAAAGGCCTGTGAGTGGCGTAGGATTCCCCCCTGAGGCTTTCCATGGAGTTTGTATTCCACAAATTTCACACAGAACCAACCGAGTGTGTCTGGCCACTAAGAAGTTGGCGCTGTGAACTTTAGCATCGCAAGTCCAGCAAATGTGAGCTTCGTCAGCAGCACAATATAAATCCGCTACGCCGTCACACAACTCGCATACTCTGTTGGACTTCGCCATTTCTCAGCAGTATTTCACTCACGTGCTCGATTTGTTGCACTCTCTTCTGCCACTACAAACCGAAAGTTCGCGAAGCAAACAATCGCCGCAAATACCACGGAGGCTAAACTTGTAAAATAAAAAGTGTAATATAATATAAACAGAGGATAAAAGAACAGCCCCTTGCCGATAGTAGGAAACCACGGCCTAAGTAGAGAGTCTCCTCATCCGCCACCTTCCACCACTTTTTTCTTGTCCATTCAGAGCGTGTTCGCTACAACAAAGAAAAACCCTACCAAATAAAACGCTTCACTGCCCTATGACGGGATTACGAAATCGTCTCCACTCACACCAACTCGTTCTTGACCACAAAACGATACTTAACCTGGCGTTGGACAATCGTCAGGACATAGTATCGATCAACAACACTGTGGGAGAAAAAATAATAAAACAAAACAAACAAGAGGTATATACTACCATTTCACAATGTGACTCCTGACCACAACTCTGGTCCGGTGGAGCAATTTTCCACCACTCCAAATGCAAAAGCGCTTAATTTTCAGTCAAAACCACGAAATGATCCCAACCTCCTCAAAGTACCAAACCAACAGCTCTCAAATACCCTCCAGAAAAGAAAACCACCGCCACTCAACCGAAACTCCCACAAACTTCAACACCCACTACACCACCCACATTTCCTGCGATCTAACTCGAAAAAAAAAAAAAAAAAAAAAAAAAAAAAAAAAAACTACAACGACTCTACACGCTGATCTCTCAACCAACGCTAGCGACCGTGAGTTTTGTGTTTGTTTTTCTTTCGTTTTTTCTTTTCCAACAGCAAACCCGACTCCCTTTTATAGAGACGAAAACGACAACGCGCAAGCAGTTTCTTCACTGACGTAAACCAAAAAATAAATAAACTGCAGCCCTACAAACATGAACCGCTTGTTGGTGTGGCGACTCCGACGATCCTTGTCGTAGCAACCAAGATGTGGCCAGGATAATTGTAGCGCGCTGTCAGGAAATGTGTGAGTTCCGGAGGCGTTACGAGTGACAACGGGGGCGGGGGAGAAGGTGGGGGAAGACGAACACGACGAACACGACGAAGTTCAGGCGGAGATCGTCAATATAGGCGACGGAGGAAGGACGAGAAGGGGACGAGGTGTGGACGCGAGCGAAGAAAGGGACTGGACAGAGGCGTTTGGCGCTGAGCCACCACTCGAACGATCGGGGGGATGGATTCTGGCCACGAGTGGGTTCGGAAATATCTCTCACTCTCTGCTTCAGCCCCGCCCTTCCTCCGCCCAGGGTGGTAGTTCGGAGTTAGGCTTGGTGAGGCTCGGAGGTTCGGAGCCAATGGGGAGCTTCCAATGGATTTCAGCCATCTTTTCCTGCCCGGGTAAAGCCCTGAAGAAGGAGCTCTGCTCTGCCAGGGAAGACAGACAGAGAGAGAAATCCCCTCTTCTCTCTCTTCTCTTCCTTTCCACTTTTCTCCGTCTTCTCTGCTGCCCGCTGCCCCGTTCGTGTCTCTGGTGCACACCTGCAGTTCAAGCGGACCATGCATTCCAGCCTTTCATCCCCCATTCCCTCTTCAACTTTTTAAGTTCACGATTCTCTTGCCAATGACATTCATCCAAGCTGCATTATGTTTGTTCTGGATGAAATGTGGATGAAAACTAGAGTCTCGGGCACTAACCGTGGATAAAGTTCTTGTGTTTGTTTGATTTTAGATAGATTAGGTTATAAGGTGAATTCGGCTTATTTTTAAGCTAAATATGATCTGTTCGTAATGAAAACTGGAATTTAATCCAAAAACATACAGTCAATGTGGGTGGCATTGAGTTCTTTAGGCATACGGTGACATCCAGCAAAAAACATGAAATAATAATAATAATAATAATAATAGGCGATATCAATAAACCATATTGATTACTAAAGCATTTTTTGTAAATTTTAAATATCCTACAAGAAATTCCATTTAAGTTGAATTTAAAATAAAAATAAAAATAAAAAACTAAAAACATCAACTGGTTCATAACTGAAACTCTGTTTTTTCCAGTTTATATTCCAGATGGATCTTATTGCATACAATTTTAATGAAATATTACAACCTTGGAAGGAAAAGATATTCAAACATGAAGGGGGGAGGGGATAATGCATTAGTGATATAATATTTTAAATGATTTAAGCTAGATTTTAGAAATGAGCTTTCTGATTTTCATACGAATAGTGCTATGCACTTGTCCACAGCATAAAAAAAGCATTGTTGTCACTTACTAAAGATCATTCTTTGTTCTTTTGAGGTTGCCACTTTACACCGTTACATTTTTACAACTACATGTTTTGCTGAAATATCAAGATAAAGTCTCTTTTTCTTTTTTTCTTTTTTTTCAAAGATAAAAAAATAAATGTAGATATTCAATAGGTATAAACTTATAGAACAGATTTTGATATTTCCTTAAACACTAGTGAGTAATTCAAACTTGAGTTGGTGCTCCCAATGGAATTTTGGGTAGTGAGTTAACATGCTAGTGAGTTAACTTGATAGTGTGAAACTTGATACCTTGGGAGCGTAAAAATCTTGGTTTGGTAAGACCAAGGTTGATAAAGAATCTTACTATTTTCTTATATATATATATATATATATTTATCTGGAGAATGTCAAATAGACCCAAGTTTTCTACTAAATTTATACTAAATTTATCCACTCATCCAAACCATCATATTAAGAAAAAAGGAACATATATATATATATATATATACACTTCTAGATTCGTTTCTCTACTATTGGATCTGCAACCAATCACATTCATCATGATTACCATATTCTTCATTAAAGGTGGGTCTATTTAATATTCCCATAGATATACACATTTTCCATTTTGCGTTCAGTAATGTGACATTTGTTGAGGCATTTTTGTTCTGGATCATTATTGCTAGCAATAAAAAAAAAATCTCCATAGTTCTTGCACTGTGTTTGGATACAAAACACACTAGAATGCTTTTAATGTTGGCTCAATGTTTCTTTTTACAAAGATACATTTATTTTTCCCAGTTGTGAGCAAATGATTGCAACTGTTGAACAAAGCATGTGGGGATGTATGAAATTGGCAATACTTTACTTTGTAACAAATAGAAAAATAGAAAATGTAATAATCAGCATAAATGCACACCTAAAAAAACAAATGAAAAGACCATGTCATGCTAAATTCATTCTTGTCCATGATGCAGTGAACAATAGGAATGATTCAATCATTATGACCTTGACCAAATGCAAATGGATTGTTTCTTGCATGCACATGACTTTTGGTTTCTAAAAAACAAACAAATAAAAATTATATATAAAATGAAAGAGAGCAACATATACATCCTCCCTATGAGTAACATATACAATGGAATTAGTGCTTGGGTATATCATAAAGAACAAATGACACCATTTAATTATTCAACTCAGATTAATATATACTTCTATCCTTTTTATTTGTAAGAAAAATAATAAAGCAATAAAATACACAAAACCCCCCTTAAAATCCAAATTAATATTTAAATTAGAGATATATATATATATATATATATGCATGCATGCATGAGGTATAAAAATGACCATATCTAGAGCCATGAAGAGAGAGCGAGAGAGGGGGGGGGGAGTTGCTGGCCTATGAATGACGCCCAAGAGAATTTGTGGCTGGGGATCGAGCCATGTGAATGCTTCTGACGCGCGGCTGCGGCGTTGGACGTCCGACGCTGACGCCATCCCCGTTCCATAGTATCCTGCCATCCTCAGAGTCGCGTTCAATCCCCACTCAGCACCAGGCGGCGGGCAGGAAAGTAATTTCCTGCCCTCTGCCCGTCAATTCCCCCAGTTATTATAATATACAAATCTCTCTCTTGTCCACTTGCAGTTCTCGCTGCCCCCCGCCCGCTTTCCCCACGTGGCTGGCTCCTCTCCCACGCCTCTGCATGTTGCCCTCGCCCTGTCGCCCTGACCTTGCCTCCTCCCTTCTCCGTGTCCTCGTTGTCTCCGCATTATCACACTTGTCCGACCCTGTCGCCACATCTGCGCTGCAAAACTGTGGACGCCTTTGAATGTGTGCGCCCTGTCGGTATCTCCCCTGTTTTTGAGCTCTGTGGCGTGAGTGCCGGCCGCGGCCAATTAAGCGAGAGTGAGCGATCAATTCACACATAAGTTGCGGTCTCTCTGCGTGAGGGTGCCCACACTGTTTTGGGTTGCGGCGAATTGGATGAATATACAGCGGTGCAGTGAACCCACATGAGGGAGAGCCACCCTGTTTGGACCTCAAGTTCTCTGTTTCGCAAAGGGTGTTGGAACTCGGAGCTTTGGACTTGCTCGCGTGTCGATGCATTAGCCTCATCCGCTGGTCGCGTCAATGATGGTGAAAGTGTACACGCATAATCGTACGGTGGCGATTGTGAGAGTCGTGTTGCTGTAGGAATTCGACGAGGTATCTCGTTCTAATTCCCGGTGTGAGAAAGAAGGGTAACTTTCGGTAGATCTGTGTGTCATTCGTGGAGCCCTTCAAATGAAGAGACTCATCAATGCTGTCTTCATCTGTAGCATTCCATGAGGAAACCGTAGACGAATTGAGAATTTTCAAGCGTTGGCTGGTATGTATATATATACTCACGCTGTCTCCTTCAAACAATGTCAGGGGCGACCACTCGCAAGAGTTTTTCGCAACGAAGTCTTCGCTGTTGGTCGAAACTTCGATTTTCTCCAACAGCATTCTTATATCTTGAGGTATTTGTCGAGGTCTACTTTAGTTGTCATTTCTATTCTTTTGAAAACACGTTGATTTTGGTGTTCATGTTCAAAATTTTCTTCACAAAATAGAACAAACTAATGTGAATAGCAAGTGACAAAAGTGTTGGGAGTGGTTTCAATGCATTTTTAAGTTGCAATGTAACTTGTATATTGTTAGGGTGTGAATAATTAGGTCATCGAAATGTGATTGACTTCCGAATGAAAAAAACATTGTATGAAGTTAGTAGAGTTAAACGATTGTAGAAGAGACTAAAATAATGTTTGAGGATAAGGAAAAATTAAAAATATATTTTATGGAAATCTTATATAATAATTGTTATGTTGTACAAAATCATAATGTAAATCTATAAAGTATGACTTTTTATTAGTTTATGTTAAATCTTATGCATCTTATGATTTATGTGTGTTATTTATTATCTGATTTGTAACTAATGAGGTAATAAAATTTCAATAAATTAGTTATTGGATTTTTAATAGAAAACATTTACATGTAAAACAATTATAGTACATATGTTTGGTAACGTTACATCTTCAATATACAAGTGATGGCAACATCTAAATTTATTAGTCAAAAGATTATATCATTATTAATTTTATTTTAAATTATGAAAAAGGGTAATAAACATATTCTTATCATTTTTTACAAAAATATTTTAAAAAGTAGTATCATTTATTTCTTTTGATTATTTCAATACTAATTATGCTTCTCAAACAATATTGTTTGTATAATATTTATTTAATCAATGATATATATATATATAGGGAGTTGTCAAAGCTGCACCCCACATTACCATCTCATAATTGATTCTATCTATCCTTGCCTTTGTTTCTTGTTCTATGTCCCATGTTCTTTGTGCTTAACCCCTATGCCTTGTTCCCTATCTCATCTCTTGTTCCTTATCCTCCAAAATTAATCATCACATGGTTTGGGGTTTATATATATAATATTTAGTATTATAAAAAAATATAATACTATAATCATAGCAATATCGTACATACTTAAGCAATAACAAATATTTCTTATAATTATGTTGTTTCTTACATATTACATTTATTTATGTATAATTATAAGTAAAATAACATTTCTCTGTAAAAAAATATAAATAATTTTATTCACTCAAAATAAATATTGCTTAAGCAAAAGAATTTATAAAAAATAGAAAATAAATAATTAGATATTTTATATTAATTTACTTTGTATATACAAGTTCAAACGTAAAAATACAATTTGGATATTATTTACTATAAAAAATGACATAAAAAATTAAGGACAAATTTATTTTATTTTTTATTTGAAAAAAATTATTTTTTAATTTTACTATATATTGATAATTTTAGTAAAAAATCTATGAAATTATACTATAATTTGAAAAATTATATTGACAACATGTTTTATATGCATATATATATTATTGGCTTATATTTTATGATAGATTAATAATATGTAATAAATTGAATTAAAAAAATATTTTAAAATTTAATTTTAAAAAATAAAAATAAAAATAAAATATTCATGACAATTATTAGAAAGCCCTTGTAATTGAGGACATAGTCTTCTGATGTAGAAAATTGCTTATAAATCAACAAAAAACTTGTTTTATATTAAGAGAATGAGAAAATATCTTTTAAATTGATAGTCATAGAATGGCATTTTAAAGACAACAAAACATAGTTATTGAGCTTTAAATGCAAAACTATCCCTCTTATATACCTCTATTTACATTCAAATTTATTGTGTCTTATATGAGACTTAATATAGAACATGTAGGACAAGTTAAGTTGTGTTCTATATTACAAAATGTAGGACAAAGTTCTTAATGTCTTACAGTAGAAGGGTCTAATCTTATTAGCCTTCTATATTAACATTTTTAATAAAAAAAAAAAATTTGATAAGTTATATCCTCTTCCTTACATTTGCAATGTAAAAATACATTTTATATAGATAAAAATTGCACTTCTTTCATGCACATTCAAAACATCAAAGAACAACTCCATTATATAAAAAATATTTTGTACATCACATTATAAAATTATAAATTTTTCTTCGAAATTCCTATTTAAAAAATTAATTAAAAAAATTTACCAACCTATATTTTCAAAAAATATATTATAACTCTAAATAAAATTATAATTCTATTTTAAAATTAAAATAAATAAAGAAATCAATAAACATATTATTAAAAATAGTAATTAAAATCTCTCAGTTTTATTATAAAGTATTAATAATTTAAATTTAAAATGAGATATATTAAAAAATTATAAATCATCGTATCTTTAAGACTCAAAAGCTTTTAAATTCATTGGTTTCTTGATGGAAGTATAGTGGTCGATTTCTCAAGTTGTCAACCACGAATACACGGTAAGTGTTCCAAGCAGAAATAAAATTTTATAAAGACAAAAATAAATAAATAAATAAATAACTAGAAGAAAAAAAAGAAACACCATTGGGAGCATGAACAAACAAAAGCACAGTCAAGAGAAGTGATTCAAGTCTGCTCAGGTACATTGGAGGAATTGCTTGAACACTGACCCCCCCTGCGACGAAAAAGAGTTCATTCCAGAGACCAATTTATTTGTTTCGAGGCACTTCTAATAACTGGGTTGTGAGATCATCGAAGTGTAGTTCGCAGCGTGGTTCCCACAACTTGTGCCTGGAGTACTAACTTCATAGAATCATAGCAAGTGAATAATAGATGTGACACATTCTCTCTTTGTGGAAACCAGATTTCGGAGACGAAGAGGAACCCAGTCTTGAGGCCCCAGCTCAATCCGCTTCTGCCTTTCCTCGTGAATTCATGTCCGTGGGAGAAAACCAAAAAATAAATATAAAAATAAAAACACACACACACATCATTCAGGTCCTCTTTGTCGTTCAGACTAGAAACTGGAAGCATAGCTCGCCTTCCAGCAAAACGGGGTTGAGAATCTAGATCTGAGTGTCATGTTTCCTCAAAAGAGAACATGAAATCTTAACAAAAACAAACCTTGTGAAGAACTTGGCAGTATTATTCGATGCTATTCAATCTCTTAAACAATTGGGTCATTGCAAAATCTAATATTTGGGCATGCATGAAAGGAAGTTGCCAGTTAAATCCTTAAGCGTCTTAGAATTTAATTGGCATCTTAGCATCTTGTAGCAATATATTTGCTTTTTGAATTTGCAATTTTTTTTATTTATTATTTTTTTAAAGGTATATTTCAAACCTTTATGGTTCTATTATGTAAGATTAGGATCCTATAAATAGAATACAAACTACTATTTATAGGATCCTAATCTTACATAATAAAAACTTAGACATGAATGTCTTATAATAAATTATTATAAAAATACTTAAATAATGTAATTATATATATATATATATATATATATATAATTTTAAATCCTTAGATTGAGTGAAGCTAAATTTTAGATGATATAAATAATAAAGTAGAAATTTAAAGATTTTAATATAAAATTATATTATTTTGTATATGAAATGGTGATTTTTTTATTAAATAAAATTATTTTAAAAATATGTATAATTTTGTGTTAAAATAAATATAAACAAGTTCATTTTTTTTATTAAAATTTATATTTTTATGAAAAAAAATTTTAAAAAATCATAAGATTATGTTAGAAATGTATGTTAAGGTTTTAAGATTTATTTATTTATTTTAGTTAGTTAGTTAGTTAGTTAGAGGAGTTGTATCATAGAATAACAAAATTAAAAAATATTAGCCTTACTATCTAAAAATATAATTTATTTTTATTTTTTCTAATACAATATTAGAAACAATATGACTTATTTAGACTTAATACTTATCTAAATTATATTTTATTTTAGATGCCGTATTGTTACAAACAAGAGTAAATGATAAAATTCATCTAATAGCTTTTTATTCAAGAAAATTTTTAGCAACCAATATCTATTACAAAAAACTTCTTGTAATTGTGGATTCATTTCAAGAATGGCACTTTAGTATAGAAAACACTTTTAGTCTAGTCACCTTATATATAGATCTCAAGAACCTTAAATATTTCATGTTAGCATGTGTTTTAAATCATTGCTAAGACCATTGCAACATTTCCTTGTTAAGATTTGAATTTGAGATGACTTTTTGACAAAGAAAACAACAAGCTTTGTCACATTTTTTTTTTAGATGTCTTTATCTTGTACAAAAAAAAAATAAAAAACAAAACTTTTGATTTACAACAAATGATTCTTTTGAAACTAAAAAATTTTCTTCTTTAAATTTTAAAATCATTATTCACTATTGATTCAACTTTTCTTAAGAAAGTTAAATCAAATATGTTCTTAGAGCCTCTAGTTCATGATATTAAGAATAATCCTTCTAAATTTCATGATATTTCTAAGTTTGAGTTTAAAAATATTCAACTCTATTTTGAAAGACACTTATATATTTTAGAAGGTGAAGTACGACTATGTGCTCTTCAATCTTGTCACATTTTTCCAACTGCAAGACATTTTGTATATGATAAGAACTTGGAGTTAATATCAAAAAAATTTAGTGGCCTCAAATGTAGAGGGTAATTAAAGACTTTGTATAATTATGTAATATTTGTTTAAGATTGAAAATTCCTTATTATTTACCTTATAAACTTCTTCATTCATTACCAATACTATAACAACTATGCTCTTCTATTGCTTTAGGTTTTATCATGGATCTCTTAATCTTAAGCTCATATAACTCTATATTTATAATAACAAATCATTTCACTAAAATGTCACATTTTATACCATTTATATAAACAATAATAAGTAAAGAAACAACTAACATTTTCTTCAATAACATTTATTGCTATCATGGATTATCAAGGAATATTATATCAAATAAATGAATATAATTTGTATTAAGGTTTTGGAGAATTCTTTCTAAGATGTTAAACATAGACATAAAACTATTATTGGCTTTCTATCCTCAAATTAGCAAACAAATAAAACAAGTGCATTAAGTTTTGGAACAATATTTAAAATGTACCATCAACTACCATTAAGATGATTGAAAAATTCTTTTGTTACTAACAAAATTTGCCTATAATAATGCAATACATTCTTCTACTCAATATATACATTTTTATTCTAATTATGATTATCATTCACAATTTTATATTTTTGACTTAAAAAATCAATAATTATATATCAAAAAAATTGATAATTTTTTATTTAAAGCTTCATGCAATAATAAAGTCATAATTAAGTAAAGTTCAATAACAACAAAAGATCATTTCAAATGTCTATTATAAAGAACAACCTAAATAACACATTGGCATATTTATTACATATTTGTTGCATATTTGTTGTATATTTTGAATAATTCTTTTCAAGATATTGAATATAGACAAGATTTTGTCATAATATTAAAACTTATTGCCCTTGTGACAAGTTGGATTACTATAGACTTCAACCATTTCTTATTTGTGAACAAATCAATCTAATTGCATATTAATTATACCTATTGGAGTCTATAAAGATCCATTCTATGTTCCATATTTGTTTTCATCATCCAAATAAGACAATGGATATATTAAAAAGAAGACAAATGCCTCATCTTCCTATAGAAGTAGAGAATAATCAAGAGTTTGACGTTAAAGAAGTTTTAGACTCAAGGAAATGCCAAAATAAATTGAAATATCTTGTGCATTGGCATAGATATGGTATCAGTGAATGCCCATAGAAGTTAGCCAAGAATCTTACAAATACAACATAGAATTTTGATGCTTTTCATCTACAAAATCCTTCAAAATTAATATGAAGAATTAAGAAATTCTTTATTATAAAGAAAACAAAGTTTGATAAAAATTATATCCTATCTTCTATCTTTATTTGTAATATATGTATATTTGTGGCACTAAGATGATAGAAAATCAATAATTAGTAGATTCAATTTAAAAACTATTGTTTGTTGAGTTAGCAAATGATACATTGAAATTGCTACAACCTTCAAGATGATATAACAAAATTGAAGATCCTCAAGAACGATATGTTTTTTTTTAACTAAATGGTGAGATATAATGTATTTGATATCACGACCTTAAGAAAGATTTCCAATGTTTGGTGATATCATTGGAGGTAAGAATCACATTTGATGGTATTTTCTAATTTCATTTGATAGGAGTTACAAAGGTGTCAGCAATGATGAAATAACATGGTAGACTTATTGTTTTAATATGAGATACTATCAATGGTTTTAGAAACATGTCAAACTACTTTAAAAGAAAACAAAGATCAAAGTATATAGTAAATATAGTTCGTTGCAACTTGAACTTCTTCAATATGTAATCACCACCTCTTATGGAACTTTTCTCTAAAAAAAAAAAGAATAATATCACAAATATATGTAGTTATTAAGATTAAAGAAATTACATCAAAATAAATAAAAATAAATAAATTTGATAATATCTAATAGATGAACTTCTTAGAAGCTTCATAGATGTGGATTTGACTTCATATGTGTTTGTATGTGATTGATAGATTGAAAACTTGGCCAATAATTTGACTATGTATTGCATATATTGGTGACTTGTGATATAAGTTGGCCATGTGGTGCACATGTAGGAAGCTTGTCTTATTAGACATGTGTTTTACAAGTTGGATACATATTAGAGGTCTTATAAAACTTTGATATGTAGCTCTTATATATATATATATATATATATATATATGCAAGAGTAAAGCCTTCTTCATTCTTGTTAATACCTTGTTATTTTAAATCTTGTTTCAAGATTTTTTAGTCTTCTTATCTTTGGTAATAGTCATTCTAGTTTTAATATTATACTATCTTTGAATGATTATTTATTCTTTTCAAGTGACACAAGAATGTATTGACATTTCCATTGTTTGTGATTCATGTCCTTGATACTTTATACACATATTATTCAAATGATACATTTTTTTGTTTTATTTTTATATACAAAAAAATATGCATCAAAAAGATATGTTGTTTTGGTACACATATTAATACATTCAATACAAGATATTTGTAACATTGACAACCATTTCAAAATTCAATAGTTCCAAAAATAAAAAATTTATAGTACTTATGACATGTCTATTAATTGAACAAATAAGACAATATTTAAATAACTTAGTGTTGTGAAGTACAATTTGATTTTCTCAAGAAGTATTTGAATCTAGAAGCCTACTTTGAAAAGACCATGGTTCAAAAGCATTATAGAGGTTGTCAATTTGGCATAAAGAATTGTTATTTTAAAGCTTTTAGAGGTAGTTTAAAGTAGAAAGATACCATCATATAAACCAAATTATTTTTGTATTTAATTTTAAATATGTTGATTTATGTCTTGATTGTGACAATATTAAAAAAATATTAAAAAAAAACCAAAAACTAAAACTTGATAAATATAAAAATAAATTTAGTAACTTTAGTATTTTATTTATTTTATTTTATTTATTTTTAAAACTAGCTTAAGAAGTGGATCTAACACAAATTCCAAGTTACAATAATATGAATACTATGTAGGCAAGAATTGTATCTTATGATATGTTTTTCTCCTATTTTATCTTGGGTAATATTCCTACTCATAAAATTAACTAGTAAAAAAACTCATTCTCAATTTCAACCGATTACTAATTTTGAAAGTTGCAGCTTTTAAACTTGAAGACCCTCTCTATTAAGTGCTAATCTACTAATTGTAAAAGTAACATCCAAATACTCAAACACCTTTGAAAACAAAGTCTTGTGAAGAAGAACACTTCATGTGAGAAAGCATTGCAATAGCTGCTGCATCAGTTAACAACAAACAAGCTTATGGCACTCTTAAACCCTAAACCATGACAAAAAAATCTTTCCATCTTTGTTGTTGTTGCTGTTGTTGTTGTACTCTCATCTACTCTCAGAATTTAGGTACGAGTACGATTCAGTGAGCCCAGTACTTCACATTTCAGAAGGAAGTGCATCATCCATGTCCATCAGGGTACTCTTTTTTGAGTCATCAGCTTCGGTTCCTGTGTGAAGATTATGCTGATATTTCCGTCACCGACACATGAGTTCTTATTGCTCATGGACACAAGTAGAGATTGATACGTAGAAATAAGAAGAAAAAAAAGGTTGATGACAAATGTTATTTCTTACAATAAGGGTTTAGCATTCTTCTTCACTCCAACCATGGTTTATTTTCGAACAATTGTATCACTGTTATTCTGTGACCTCAATTATTATTATTGACACCAGAACGTGGCCAGTGTCGGTGAAATAGAGCATGATCAGAGGCTGCAAGGCACGATAAAAATATGGTGCCGGGAGCTTGTTGCATGATCCCACAGCTACACTTATTCACCCATCTCAAGAACGCCGATAAAAACATCTTCATTACACCGTCTAAATTACTCATTCTTCTTATTCGAGCACATGGCTTCAGCACCTCTGTTTGTTCGCTTCGGATCGAAGCAATTAGTATCGAAATTGGGTTCTTCTGGCGTTTCGGGTCGTGAATGTTTGAGGATCGTCACGGTGGAGCGATGATATATTCTTCATTATCCGACACGCATTCAGGATTAATTTGTGGATCATGGCTGAAGGTTTTGCTATTTTTCTCTCGACATGCTTGAAGAATAATAATTGGGGGGGGGGGGGGGGAGTAGGATAATGAAACTGCTTCCGGGGGCGGGGAACTCACAGCATAGCAATGGCTAGGCGACAATTCTGCGTCGCATCTTTGACGGTCACGGGATCATAGACGCGGTGACAGGAACTGCCGCGTCCAAATTCATTCTCGCGAGATCATCCCCTCTCCCCGAAGGTAGTATTTTATTGATGTTTTCTTTACTCGCAAGCTTGCGGTGACGCCGATCGCGTCTCGTGGAGCTGGATCTGATGCTCGGAATCCCACTCTGCGCCTGATCAAAGCGCTGCACAAACTTATGAATCTTAGTTTTCACTTCTGCTCGCACTGGTCCTAGAAAAATTGCACGAATTTAGCGGCTCTGTGAGACCGGTACCCCAATTTTGCTTGTGGTTTTGGACCTCGAGAGCAGGTAACCCTAGGTCGTAAGAATTAATGGAAGTGGAGGAGTGATTTGGAGGGATCAGTGTCGCCCGTGTAGCGACTCGGACAGAGGGAAATGGGGCTTCATTGTGACTTTATTTGGGGTTTGGTGGGTTTTTTGACCATTCTGGTAGTGGGTGAATTAGGTCGCGAGGTGATCGGTGTTTCTGTGAACCCTAGTGAAAATGAGAATGGGAATGGATTGAATGGGGTCAGGATCCAGTCGAACTGCGGCTCCGCACTCGTGCTTCCCCTCGTGGAGTCTAAACGACATGGACATGTCGTGGATCGTCGTTTTGAGCGGCGAGGGAGAGGCCTCGTGGAGGATGCTAGGATGGTCCTTCATGACGATTTGCTTACAAAAGGGTGCGAGCTTTTGGACATTGTGTGATTCTTGGGCTTAGTTTGCTTTTGGAAGAGAAAAATTCAATTCTTGTCACGCTTTGCTAAATTTGGGCTGGATTCAACGGATCGCTTTTGCAGCTCGAATTCGTTGTTCTGTAATGTTTAGGAAGTGTAAAATTGAGCAGATTTAGCGCCAGCTTTGTCGTAAGTTTTTCCGTGCTTTGTCGTGTGTCATTCTAACACTGTTAGAGATAGATATTGTATTCAAAGGCCTGCATTCAAGGCCTTGACTGTGGGTTTGATTCTCCTGGAGCTGAGTAGTATTGTTGTTCAGATGCTTTTGCATAAGTCCGATGGTTCGATGGCTCATTTGGATTGGGGACTGATCACTTAGGTTGGAGATCAAGTTAATGTCGTCAGGAGTTCCAATAATGTGAGTTTTGTGTTCTTTTGGTACCTGAGGTTTGTGTGTAGATTCTTAGGGCTACACCTACTGAAAATTTGTTGAAAGCCAATAACTTTTAGCAAAATTAATGATGGTGAAATTTATAACCTTTTTTTTCTTTTTAATGATGAGCTCGGATTTTTTTTTATTATTTCTTAAAATGCTCTGTGAGTTTGTACTGAAAGCATCATTTTCTACGTGAAGAAAGTGACGAAGTAGCGAATTAATGGTTTGGATATTCTGGAATTTCTTCGATTCAAGAGGGGTGTTTTTATTTTGGAATTTAAAGCTCAGGGGTAGTTCTCAGACCTTTTGGCTGTGAAATTCTGGCTAAAGATGTTAAAAATTATGGTTTAAGTATTGTTTTCATCGATATCTTTTGTCAAGTCAGTGATTGACCACATAAACACCATATTTTAGTTTCTATTTGCCTCTGCTGTACGCGATGGCTGAGGTCTCAACGTGAGTATGGAGAGGAATATGTGTTCTTTCGGAAGTTTCTAACTATCTCGTGGGTTTTGTGTACAGATACTACACAAGCAGAGTTTTCATTGGGACACCTGCGCAGGAGTTTGCACTTATAGTAGACACAGGAAGCACTGTTACATACGTGCCCTGCTCTAGTTGCACTCATTGTGGCCATCACCAGGCATGTTTCGTCACTTCCCTATCTAATTATGCAGAAGAGGCTCTGCTTGCTTGCTGTGGAATTAACTAACTTGTGTCCCAATTGAACAGTATTTGAATTATCTAAAAGTCGTACGTACGGCGTATTAGAACGACGATGAAACTGCGTACAGTTTTGAGACCAGACAAGGGACGCAGTAGGATTTCATATTGTTACACAGCGCATGGGTGGGCTATTGAACACCATTGGTGACTTCTGTTTGTTATATGTGGCACAGGACCCCCGATTTAAGCCCGACAATTCAAGCTCGTATCAAACGGTCTCTTGTAATTCACCAGATTGTATAACGAAAATGTGCGATGCCAGGGTTCACCAATGCAAATACGAGAGGGTTTATGCTGAAATGAGCTCCAGCAAAGGAGTTCTTGGAAAGGACCTACTAGGTTTTGGCAATGGCAGTCGGCTGCAACCTCATCCTCTTTTATTTGGATGTGAAACTGCAGAGACTGGAGATCTCTATCTACAACATGCTGATGGCATCATGGGGCTGGGACGTGGTCCACTTAGTATTGTGGACCAGCTTGTAGGAACTGGAGCCATGGAGGATTCTTTTTCACTTTGTTATGGTGGCATGGACGAGGGTGGTGGTTCCATGGTGTTAGGGGCAATTCCACCTCCTCCAGCTATGGTATTTGCTAAATCAGATCCTAATCGTAGGTACGCCTATTCCCTGTACCCCTCCTCTTACCTGAGAAATCATTCTTCTTTGAGCATCAGAGTACGTAAAATATCTCTATGTCTTAAAAATTTCTCTGTTGTTGGCGTGAAAAAGACTTAATAATCGGAATTGTTTTGTACCTGGCATGCAGAAAAATGCTGACTTGTATGTTCTGGATGCAGCAATTACTACAACCTAGAGTTATCTGAGATTCAGGTGCAAGGAGTCAGCTTGAATGTGCCTAGTGAAGTTTTCAATGGAAGGCTTGGCACAGTTCTAGACAGTGGGACAACATACGCCTATCTTCCAGATAAAGCTTTTGATGCTTTCAAAGATGCTGTAAGTGGACTAATCTTTCAGATTTTTTGTTTAGACTGTTATATTACCTTACAAGGTACTATGTGACTCAACTGGTATTCCCAATTTGCTCGTCCACAACTAACATATTTACGCCTTTTTTATTATTTAAAATAGTTGTCTATTCGACTGTGACTTTAGCATTCAAATCGTCGTGTTTGGTTTTCTTAACGCTAACTGTAAATTTTAAAATGGTCATTGAGGTTGCAGATTACTCAACAACTTGGGTCATTGCAAGCTGTTCCTGGTCCTGATCCAAGTTACCCTGATGTTTGCTTCGCAGGAGCAGGAAGGTGAGTGTTGTCTCGCTTGGACACAAATAACTACTTTTCCAAGATACTTAGAATTTGCATGTTTTTTTTATGTAACACAAATTGTGAACATAATGTTTTAAAAATGTATGGTTCCTCCTTTGTACCTTCCCATGGAGCATGAATGTTGTAACATTCAACATGGATTAGTCTACCTTTAAATCTGCACGATGCTGATTCTGTGTCATGTAAAATATATTCTTCCCAATTGTAGTTAGGAATCTGCATTGATTGTATGAATGTTTATGCAATAGTGATTCAAAAGCGCTGGGCAAGCATTTTCCTCCAGTGGACTTTGTATTTTCGGGAAACCAGAAAGTATTTTTGGCTCCAGAAAACTATCTATTCAAGGTGAGTCGTTTAACTTAAAGTTTGTAAATCTCTATCTGTTTATTTTGTCCTTAAAACAAACTTTTATTTCTTTGATTTCACATTATCTTAAGGATCACATGATCACCTTCCTTTATGCAATTATATTTTCAAAGAAACAATTATTCTTTATGTGTATTGCTACAGTTATTCCATATTATCATCCATGTTGCTGCTTTCTGAAATTATTTTGTGATCACAGCATACCAAAGTGCCAGGGGCATATTGTTTGGGCTTCTTTAAGAACCAAGACGCTACAACATTGCTTGGAGGTAATTGTTTTTGGGTGTGTTGTGTATTATACTATGATTTGAAATAATAATGATCAATCTCTACAATTTTGTGGACTACAGAAATGAAGGTCCTTCATAATTTGATGACCTTCAAAACGTAAGTACAAAAGTAGTACCACCTCAGCTCTGTTCGTGACTTTGTCCACCACGTACACTGGACTGGAAGCACAGTTTGTTTTCGCTGACTTCCGAATGATAGTTATTTGTAAGAGTACTTTGTAAATGATATGCTCACTAGCAACGTCTTGGTTATAGTAGATAACTTGGAATTTTCCAGGGATTGTTGTGAGGAATACGCTGGTTACGTATGACAGGGCCAATCATCAGATTGGTTTTTTCAAGACGAATTGCACAAATTTGTGGAGCATTTTACCTGCTGAACCTCCATTGGCACCGCCACCACCTCCGGTAAATGAGAGTAGTCCTATCGAATCACCGGCATCCTTGCCAGAGGGTATGTGTCTATGATTGGATAGGCTTTCTTGTCTGAGTGACTTGATTGTATGTCATTGCTCGAGTCTGCTAAATTCGAAACGAGAATGCGAGTCGATAGTTATGAATGATTAAGAACTGGAATCACTGGGTGGAACGAGTAGTGAAACAGTGAAAAAAGCAATTTACAGTAGTTCTGGCCGGAAAAAGTAACACATTCGTCAATAAGATTTACCGTTGTAAACGTAATATTGGTACATTGACATTTTAGCTCTCTAGGAGGAATACCTGATGGTGGTGAACCTGAATTTAACTTATTATACAATTTCATGCTTGTCTGGCTGTGTCATGCACCGTTTCTCTCAATGCTTGTCATTTGTGTCAATGAGGAGCATCTTATAAAAATACTAAATCATTCGTTGATTACCACTCTGGATTCTAAGTTTCATATCTCGCCACATATTTGTTTTCTCTTCACAGATAAACAAGATTTTGGCAGCATTGAACTTCTAATTGAACTAGATGGAAATTTTACCACCATTTTGAATCAGACTCTCCTGTTTAAATCAAGCATGGCTTCTGAACTTGCGATTTCTTCGTCACAGGTTGTAATCCATTTTTTTATCTCTTTCTCTTATCCAATTTGTGGTTCTATAGCAGCTGTATGACAGATTATCTGAATTGTTCCTGAAATTGCCATAGTGGCCAGTGCTACGCTATCGTCCCCTCCAAGCGGATAATGTTAGAATCCTTTGATAGCATTGTTTTATATAGGAGATCATGTCTATTTATCATACTTATATTTTGCCTCAAGTGTTACGCAGATAAGCATAGAAGACATTAAAGAAGATGGAGAACACGTAGTTGTGCGATGTATTATATCTCCAGCATCTTCTCAGCTTTTTTCATCATCTGCTGCCAAGGTTCATTTTCTCTGTGCATATTTTCTTTCTGCATTGGTTGCTCTTGTTGCTATTGCCACAGTTATTGGTAGTATCTATATCTCAGACAAATCCTTCGACTTTGGCAGGCATTAGCAGCGCGGTTAGAAGACCATACAGTTAAGCTGCCAGAGATTTTTGGTGCGTACCGCTTGAGAAGCTGGAAAGGTCTCCCCCCCTCAAAATGGTAAGTCTGTTTACAGTTCTTTAAGGTGCACTATAGTTTGTGGACTTGCGTATTATATTGTAGCTTCCAGAATAACTCAGTTATGTTTCTAAGCTTCAGTGGGGTCAATCCAAATTTTCATCTTGTGGCATTATTATTTATCATCCCCTGCGTGGTGTTTTGACAGGGCTTGGATACATTCAGATAGGGCTAAGATGGGTGCTATGATTGCAATATTAGTGGGGGTAGTAGTATTGCTTGCAGTTATTGCAAGTTTAGTCTACTGGTATTTTTTCAAGTACAGAAACAGAGGCCAAATCAAGTACGAAAACTTGGAGGTGGCCGAAACAAATGAAGAGGAAACATGGATTGGTGACGAGCAATTGTAGCCACCTGCAACTGTACAGTGCACCTATTCTCTAGAAGGGTAGTGCCTTAATTCCCAATTTCTCAAGCTCAGGTTTCTGTTTGTATTAACGAGCGGTTATCCTGTGCTTCCCATATCAAGTGGTAGAAAGTTGGTGTTGGAATATCATTTGATACGTCTGTTTTAACTTGCATATAGTGATAGTCATAACTGAATATGGAATCAATAATCGTGATTTTAACCAAAAATTATGACTAATGTGTTGCTGTAAAAATCAAATTTGAAAGTGACTTTGCTTATAAAATAAGTGAATGATGTGGTAACCAAAGTACAGGTCCAACAATGCAAATGGGAGAGGGAAACATGGGGATCAAATCACTTATTTGTCAAACTTAGTTTTGCTCACACTTGGATTGGATTGTAGCAAATCAATGTAATTTGATCATTTACAAATGGTTATTTGTGCTTGGATGAGAGCATGGGTAAGATAATATGCTCTAGTTATATAAATTCACACACTAGTAGCACATATCATGGCTTCATAAAGATATATCTTCTGTTGAAAGACAACAAATTGAAGTTAGTGCTCTAGCAAGGGTGAGTACTAAAAAGATTGTATAATATTTGTAAATATTAAAAAGTTTTATCACCTTTGTAAATAACATTTGGGTGAATTAAATGGTATAAATTTTAGTGTTGGTGGTAGATCATGTATTTAGTGTAGCAAATCAAAAATTATGTGTGCAAGCAATCATTATTGATGGCTTTAAGACAATATATATATATATATATATATATATATGAGAGTAGGCCCACATTATTATGTTTAATTTTGTTTTGAAAAGGAAATTATATCAAGCAAAAGAAGTCAAAGTTCACACACTATCATATAAAGTGAAGATTAGAGTTTGCTAACCATCATGAACATTGGACAAATGATGATATAGCACATATGTTCTCTAATAAAATAAAAAAGAATCGATTTTGTTCTAATGGTTGTAGCTAATATTGGATTGGTAATGGAGAGTCTTTGAGTATTAGAAGAATACAAGAGATGGTGAAGTTTGGAAGTAGATGAGTAATGATGTAGAATTGTATTGTTATGGAAGGCCTTGCCATGATGTGCAAAACCAAGGAAACATTAGGTCATCATTGTTACAATGAGATTTTAGAACATGAGTTGATTCATACATTGCATGCATTCAATTAAAATTTTGAAAATGTGATTATCCGATACAATAATAATCCATTGCATATGCCCATATTTGTAACTTTGTGGTTGAATTACCAATTATTTTTTCTTCTCAAGTGGCCGGCACAATAGCTTGACTTCAAATCAATCAAATATTTGTGGATAATTCTCAAATGTTGTTTAAACCAATATTAGATCCTTCTTAAAAAAAATGATAAAATTATGGATATGTATTAGAGATTGTTGGGCTTTAATTACTCTTGATGAATGCAAGAGATTATGTGGAAATATGCATAAGTGTATTAGAGTTGTAATTGGGGCTAATGGCAAATGGACAAACTATTAGATTCATCTTATATAATGTGATCAAAATTGAGTTTTGAATCTAAATTCATATTTCTTTTTTTCTTTTTTTCTTTAATATACTAATAAATAATTCACTTCAATTCTTGTGCAAATATATTCTATTGTAAGAGCTATCTTTTCCATTTTTTGGTATCAATTTTAATATGTGCATTTTTCCAACATTGATTTTTGACCTAGATCAAATAAATTCATACTAAATTATTACTATCATTGTATTTTATTGGTGATTCTAATGAAACAAAACTAAATTCATTCCTTGCCTTTAAAGCATACTTTTTAATTGTATATTTCTTCATGTTTATGGTTTTTTCACAAAAAACATAAAACTTTGATTATAAATTCCTTTGTGAATAATAATCTAATATAGATAGAAAATCATCCTAAAGATACAACTTGTTCAAATTGTGAACATAAATGAGATAATAATATATTAGATTATTACATTTATTCTTGTACAAATACCAACAATATATAATTATAAGTTTATGGATCAGTTGCACCTACTTTATAGTTTCAATTGGTCTTATAAGTTTCAACTAATATATAAAGTTATTTTCTTTAATTTAATTATTTATAATAATTTTATAAATATATATATTCGAAATAAATTAAATATTTTTTAAAATCAAAATTCTAATAAATAAGATATGTTAAAACAATCAAGAATTGTGAATTTAAAGCATAAGAAACAAATTTCGAAGATCAAAAAATAATTTTTTTGACCATAAAAATTATAAAAATCTCCAATCTTCATATTTTTCTTTGATTTTTTTTTTAATTTTGAGTAAAAAAATATTAAAATTAAATTTAAAACAATAAAAAAATTATATTCTTTAAAGAATAAGCTCTTAGTGTTAAGATTTATTACAATTAGTGTAAAAAAGAGAAAAATAATAATACAAAAAAATACTCCAAAATTACTTAAATATTTTTTTTTTAAAATCAATGAATATTTTTTAATATTGGAGTCTAAAAACACATGTGTGTTTGTGTGTAGTGGTTTAAAAAGAAGGTTTTAAAAAGAAGGTTTTAAAAGAAGGTTCTTTCTTATGTATATATATATATGTATTCAAATATAAGAAATATTTTGTTGCAATATTTTGTATTCTTCAAAAAAATCTTCAACAATATATATATATATATATATATATACACTTTCACATAAATTATGTTCAATTTCATCTATATATATATATAAAGAAATATTAAAAATGACCCATGTATTTACTAAACTTCTCCACTCTATCATTGGAAGCATGGGAGAATGAAGGAATTAAAATAAGAATTGGGAACAGAGGGAGGGGAACAAGAGGTTGGAATGAAGAAGGCTGGGAATGGGAAGGAAGTAGGATTTGGGAGCGAGAGGGGTGGAGATGAGGGCATGATTGTAATAATGCTTCTAGAGATGATCCATTTTTCTAATGATGGTTTTAATAGGGTGGATCAATTTAGTAAATGGGTGGGTCATTTTAACATTTCTCTCTTTTTTTTTTTCTCTCTATATATATGCTAGCATTAGATGCCTTACTTTAAAAAATTTAAAATAGAAATATATATATATATATATATATATATATATATATATATATTATTCAACAACATTAAATTCCAACCATTTGTTTCTTTGTTTATTATTCAAAAATATAAATTACATGACATTTTTCTGTGTGTATATACATATATATGATGTGTTTTTTTTAAAACTAGTATATACCATAAGTATATTAGTCTTGATTCAAAATGATTTCAAATTATCAAGTGATGGCAAGGTTAGATCTAAGAACAAACCACAACTTTGAAAAGGTTGGCAGTTAGAATCTCAACTCTAAAATCCCATCCATGCTTAATAGATTCTTACTCAAGATTCACCCTTGCAATGCCATTTAATTTAATTTAATTTTTTGAAAAAAAAAAAACAAACAAAAGAAAAACAAAAAATAATCATATCAAAGAAAATAACATATTTTACATGATTTTACTTAGTGAAATTTGACTAAATCTATTATATTGTCCACATATTTGAATAAAAAATATCAAATGGATCCAAAAGAAGAAGAAAAAAAGGTGGTACAATATTTTGCCTCTCATGTTTCGATGAGTTAACTGTTTTTTTTAATAACCATTGCAGCATTGCTACACACATTACTATTTTAAAATAAATTTGCCACCATCCTTGAGTTATTTCTATAGAATCCTAAAACCGTTTTGTTTGGCCAATATTGACAAAAGACAGCGGCGCACATCAAATGCCATGTCAGAGGGCATCCTGCCACCGTGTCAGGATAGGGACGGCAGAGACGAATGGACGAACGAACGAAACTCAAGGACGACGACCAACGAACGAACGGACGAACGAAGCCAACGCGGCGGCGTACGAAACGGGCGATGGACCGCGCGGCGCGAGATCCCGCGTCCAGTCTGAGCGTCGTCGTCTTCGTCGACCGGGTCCCCCCCTTTGCTTTACGGATCCCTCCCCTCAAGGCTCTCTGTTGCAAGCCTACCACCATCGCCTTCGCCATCGCCATCACCACACGTGATTCCAACCAATAGTGTCAGAATCTCGGGAACTCGTACAGGTGCAGTAGCGTGAGACTCAGTAACAATGTCGTGGTGGAGCTGGTAGACATAACTCGTCATAGTCACTGCAGGAGCTCAGAGCGAGTGGGCCAGTAGAAGGGGAGCTCCAGTTTTCGAAGTAATCGCAATAACCCTCTGCGTAAATCTTTTGCACGTGTAAACTCCGCGTCCGGGAGTGCACTCGGTGGTTGCTTGAGAATTTTGTCGTCGGCGCAAGGAGCGCAGGAAGTTAGGCTGTCATGGTGGTGGATATTTAGGACAGGAGCGTGGTTTCATGTGGTGGACTGTTTCGTTTTTGCCCCTGTTACTGGCAGGGTGTGGGGCTATGGCATCGGCGTCGACATCGTGGTTTGGTGATGAGATTAGCCGATGGTTGGGCTATGGTGGGGCCTGTGGTAGCTTCCGTTCATGTGCTGACGTCCGGCAGGAGAATTCTACGCACGCTTAGTGGAGGTTTGAATTCTGCGGCTCTGCGGAGTCTGCTTCCTTGGATTACTGTGGATATTCTAGCCTTGCTCCTCATCCGTTTGTCCGCTTGTTCAAACTTCACGTTGTTGGACTTACTCCTCCGGTCGTCGTTTACGCGGGAACGACTCGGAGGAGTCCTGTGGAGACCAGGACTTGGGGTGGTAAATACCATAAAGGATGCCGCCGTCTTCGGGGTTTCGACTTTCTTGGGGTCGTTGAATCCCGGATGTGTTGTAGGCAAGTTAAATTGCACAATTCAAACTCGAAAGGTTTCCTTTATCCTCCCCTTTTAGCACTGGAGCTTTAGGATCTCATCCGTCTTTAATGGGAGGAAGTTGTCTTCCCGACTCAGAGGAAGACAGATACTCGTTGTCGATCTGTTGTTGTGAGGTTTCAGTTTTGTTGCGATAGAGCCTTGATTGCCTTGCAGCTCTTTTGTCTTAACACTTCATGGCCAACTAAGCTGGCAAAACACCGCGTGTGCGATCTCGAGGCATTTCTTGGCGGGTCCCTTTGGCGTAATCTAGGGCTTCATTACTATTTATCCGTGCCGTCCAGTTGCCGAAGAGACATGTTGCCGAAGGTCGTCCGCAGGTTTACAGTTGGCAGTTGGATTACGGTTGTCTCTTAGCGATCGCTTTCCTGGTTGTCCTTGCATCACGAAACCACCTCTTCCAGAATGAGCTTTGCATTGCAAGGTTCAGGCTTCAGGTGGTGCCTATTCGTTGGAAGACAGAATGTCTGCAAGCCTGTTGGGACCTCACATGTAGTTCTTGCTTGTGGCATTGTGACATCCGAACACCGCCGATTCTTATGAAACAGGGGTCTTGGTTCACCTGCATTCGGTGGATTTGTGCTATCACGAAGCTCGGCGTACTGATATAGGCTCATAGGGCTATCATCTTCTTTTAGTTTCCAGGGGTAATGTGTGCAGGAGCAATTTGGTTAAGAGTCATTCATGCCTATTCTTCGCTCAGAGACGACAAGCTTGAGCTTCGAAGAAGCAGATTGTAACACGTATTTGGAAACAATCCACGATTTGCGACTCTTCGAGGCAGATTAGATCGTAGGGCGATTCTTTCGGAGTATTATCTTTGAGGTGTTGCTGGATTAGCAGTTGTTCTATTGAAGACGTCCAAGAATTGTGAATTTGTATTTTTGACGAGATTATTGCTGTGTGGGAGGAGAGAGAAAAGCGGATTTCTGGTGGGGATTTTTAGTAGAACTATGTGCCCTGTGCGAGAAAGAAATCGAAGCTGCGAATTCTTGTGATTCAGTGAAGAGTCATCATGGGTGCTGAGAGTGCAGGAAGAGAGACAGCGCCATGGGCGGTGAAAGCGTTTTCGCCTCCATCAGATGTACTTGCAAAACTTTGGGCTGCACGAAATGAACTTTGTCAATCCTTAGAGAAGACCCGTGCATTAGGAAATCAATTAAATGAAGCCAACAAGCGGCTGCAGATGTTTCAAGATCGTCTGTCTCCTGTAAGGAGATCACTGTTGCCACTGCAGGAGAAATCCAAGATCACAGAGAGTTTGACTCAAAGAATAAATAAAACCTTAGAACCAGCGATGCAGGTTCTTAAAATGTTTGATGTGGTGAGCAAGATTAGGGTAAGATTGGTGAAGGAGCCTAGAGATGATTTCGATGGTTACTTGGCTGCATTAATACAGCTGGAAGAAGCTGTCGATTATTTGAAACACAATTCGATTGTGGCCATCAATTGGTTGCAAGAAGCTGTCGCTTACCTGAACTATACAGGCTCTACAGACACTGTGCGCTTACGGCGACTCAATGAATCACTTGCAACTTTGCAGTCTCAACAGGCGGGTAGGTATTCACAAGGCGCTGAATGTTATAGGAATATAGCAAAGGGTTCATGACTATTAACGGCGTTCTAAAACATAGTTCTCCAAAATTATGTCAACTTGTTGAAACCACAACTAAATGTGCTAAAACCTCAATTTCAAAAGTTCAATCATGGTGTTCTCAGCGTTAAATGCGTTTCGCTAGAGCGTTTATGGATTGGTTTCACATGCACTCGATTGATGAAGATAACCTTTGTGAGCTTGCTTGCTGTTCTCAGCTTGTCAATCGGTCTTGTTTATAAGATCTGTTCAAGGCAGTTGATTCTACTGCAGAAATTGATAAACTGAAGGAAGCGCGTTTTGGTTTGCAGGTGGAGCACATGAGCTCGATGGTGGATTATTAGTCACTGCACTTGGCAAGCTTGAGAAAGAATTTAAGCGCCTGATAAGTGAGCACAGTCAACCTATTGAATTACCCGAACAAATGGCACCTCGAGAATCAAACTCTCCTCCTTCCTCTGAGTTGGACTATCTGGTCAGCTACCCTCCGCAGGTCCTGCAGAAATTGCAAACTATTATAGAAAAATTAGCTGGCAACGTTCATTACCAAAGATGTGTAGATGCGTACCAAGACACTCGACTTGTACTTTGTGAAGAAAGCCTGAAAGTAAGTGCTCTTTGCAACAGTTGGTCTTAGGTACTGGATGATGTTCTTGTTGCCTAAACTATTTGCCTTTTCCAACAGCTTTGTGGTAACAATAAGACTTTTCGAATCCTACGTTTTAGTGTTCAATTGGTGAATGTCGCGAGGTATCTGTTGCAACTGGCAACCCGAATATGACTGGATGCAAGTTCTTACATTTATTTCAACTCTTCATGCTAGGCATCTTACTTGAAACTTAGGTCTGAGTCACCTCGTAGCCTTTAGAGCTGAAGCTTCTCTGTTCTATCGAGTAATTTGAAATTACCCGTCATGTATTGGTCTTTATTATTGTGTTCAAGCCTTCATTGCTGACTGCTGTGCGTTTCTTCTTTTTTGCTGCTTCAGGCTCTGGACGTGCGTTACATGAACAATGTCACCCCAAAAACAGTGAACTCAATTCCATGGGATGATTTACAAAACATGGTGGAAAAATGGGCCCAACAACTTGAGGTTATTGTGAAGATGCTGTATACCGGTGAAAGACGCCTTGCTCGTCAAGTGTTCAAAAATGTGGGGCAAGCAGTCTGGGTGGAAATCTTATATGACTTAGCTGAGCCTGAGATGGATACATTCCTGAGATTTGGAGAAAGTGTTGCAGCAAGCGAACGTTCCCCCGAGAAGCTCTGCAAGCTGCTTGAAATGTATGAAAGCATGGAGAAGTGTGAACATAGTGTTATTCAGGTATTCGATGGGCAGGCTTGTGGTGAGATCCGATCACGTTACCGAGAGCTTTTGAAACAGGTACTTAATACTCTATGACTAACTCCATACCCTATCTTAAATCATCATAGTGCTACCTAATGTAGCTCACAAATAACCGTCGCTTTATTAACTCGGAAAAAAATAGTTTTCCTGCATTATGAAGTACGCCTACGTGACGAGAATTCTAATTTTGATGATTTTGCGTTCATGTTGGGAAATAATTTGGGTTTTTTAAAAACGATTCACGAAATGTGCATGTTAATTTTGAGTTGTAATTCGTGAAGGCCTGAGATTTAACTTATTTTTTTCGTGTTCCATGATTATAGATTGTCTATGCTGCTGGAAAGACATTTTGGGACATTGATGACTGGATAAAGGAGCAAAAAGAAGGGGTCTCTCTGGACGGTAGGGTCATGCAACTTTGCAGTTGGGTGGTCAATTATCTGGGATATGTGATTGCTTTGTTTCCCATAACATTGAGCAAGGTTCTACGAATTGCGCAAAGCTGGGAGGGTGAGGGAGCTGAAGATAAGGGGCTGCCTGAGGGATTGGCTCTCATTCTGAATACTCTTGAAGGACTAGTGGAGACGCGCGCCAAGGAGTTTCACGACCCTGCCCTACGTCACATTTTTCTGATGAACAACATGTACTATATTCGCAATCGTGTGAAGAACAATGCTCTGGGGCCATTGTTAGGCGAAGACTGGATTTCTGAGGTCGGTCGCAAGGTAAGTATTGTCTCTTGAACTGGTCACTTTCAATTTATTAATGTGAATGATAGAAGTTAATATTGAAAGTTGCAACTCCTCTTAACTACAGTGGGTAACAAACCTATCGGTCTATAGCCTCAGTAGCTGAGATCCAAGATTGCATCTTCTTATAAATCTTACAAGGTATAGTTTTCAGCTTCATACTTAGCAGTGTGCTGGTGTTTAGTTTGAACGCAATATGTCGTATCATTTCAATTTTTCAATACCGTACAGGTGTCAACAAATGCATTGAAGTACCAACGAGAAGCATGGCAGCAGGTACTCCAGCATCTCAACAGTGACGGACTAAAGGGATCCTCATCAAGTAAAAGCGGCTCACGTGATCTGGTGCGGCAAAAATTGAGAGCATTTAACGCTGCATTCGACGAGACTGTTCAAATCCAGTCGAAGTGGCTCATAGCAGAAAAGGATTTGAGGGATGGTACCTTAGCAGCAGTCACACAAATGGTTGTACCTGCGTACCGAAGCTTTCTGGGACACTTCGGGTCTCTGTTGGAAGGCCGTGGCCGTGATTCAGACAAGTACATTAAGTATACTCCCGAAATTTTGGAGACAATCTTAGGAGATTTATTTGGAGGTAACAACGCCTGAGCAGACGGTGTTACTGCAATGAATTTTTGACCCATGCGCAGGGTTGTGCATTGTAAACAATTTTTTCTCAATTGACAATTTTAACATGCAATTATTTGGTCTTTCTTTAATCCTCTAGCAACCAAGATTTATCGCACACTGTTTATTATTTTAGACTATGAGATGTATGCACTTAAGTACTAACAAAGAGTCCTAGCAAATTGTTCATGAATAATTAGATTGCATGTCAATTATGCTCAACGAATCTTAAGAATGTGTTCAACACTATATACACACTAGCGACATGGTTGTGCACGACAGATCCAGAAAATAGATATCAGTTGCAAGGGAATGGCAAGTTCAATAGCCCTAGGAAGAACCAGCAACAAGGTGTGCATGAACTGATACAAAATCCAGAGAAGCCCATATTTTGAATTTAGCGGCCCTATGAGTTATTTTTGAAAAATAAAATGAAATGAACACTGGGGGATTCCTAGCAGCTAGGTATTTGAGTGTCTCACGTAGGCATCACTATAACTTACTGAAAATGGAAGTCGGACACGAATTAAGTAGTATCATCCACTTCAACCTGAGGACAGTTTGATTTTACCGGGATGGAACAAACATTATGCACGTATACCCTGCAGTAAAACAAGAAACTTTTCTTGACGCTGTACAACAACATGTACAAACACAAAAGCATTTTCCATACTGCGATTTCCGACTTCACTGGCTCCAACAACAGTATTCTACATTCATCATTCGACCTTTGATGTCTCCGATTCAGCGTCGGGTGTAGGTGTAGTTGGAACGTTCTCACTCTTGTCTGAGACAGGGATTTGCTTGACGGTACCCACTTTCTGATACTTGCTCATGAACTTGTACTCCCAATCGGTCAAAGCTTCAGCTTCATAAGGGCTCAAACCTTCAATGTCGCCAGTCAGATCCTTCTCCTCAAAAGACATTTTGGCCAGAGCCCTGCTGGCGTCTTTCCCAGCAAAGAGTGCGTATGGTCCGCCAGGTCCATAAAATGCCCTGTTACGATGTTCCAGGAGCGTTCCATAGTAAGTCTCAGAAGTTTATCCGTTACATGATAGGTCTCTCAAACGATAGACCTCGGAAGAGAGACGATTCTAGAGTCTACTCGAACAGACCCAGGCATGTAAAACCCAACAGTTTTATTGGATCCGTGCTCAAGTGGAGAGGAAAATTCCATGGCAAGCAGTTGATTGAGACTGCAAGTATCCCATTACAGATCTGCTCATGCGACAATCATCTATAAATTCAACCGAAAGTAACAATAGTATTCCAAAAGAAGGAAACACAGTGAGTGCAACCACTATAATGAGATAAACAAAAGCTCCTTTAAGGATGATGAACAATCAATACGTTAATCTTACAGAGTCCACACATGCAATTTGGGTGCAATTTTTCCTATGATGTTACAGTTCACGAAATAGATAAACAAAGAAAGAAGGTACGTCCCTTCAGAGTACCAAACACTTCCCAACTGAATGTAGCTTGTTCATGAATTGGGAATACACTCATTGTACTGTTACTAACAATGATACAAAAGCAACATCAAGTACTGTGAAAACAAAAGTAAATACCATCCTCGATAAAATCTCCTCTTGAAACTTTCCAATGCATTTACGAGGGAGGCATATTGCTTTTGCTGTTACAGCATTTGAGGTTCACAATCACTTCTCACATCCAATGAGTGCACACTAGTTGTAACCACCAGTAGCAAGCCACAATCACAACAATGAATCTTTGAAGAGAAGGATGTCCAACTAACAAAGCACAAAACAATGGATAAGAATGACAAAATAGATCCACCCCTTTCACCTCACATACCTTGACCGAGAAACATCATAAATCTGAGCTTTGATGGCCATCAACAAAGGCTTATTGGGATCAGTGCCATCGTAGGCTCGAAGTTCTTCTGCAGTAATCTCCCCGAGCTGTTGAGGAGGTGGCAGTGGCTCCATTGGAACGTGTTCAACAGGGGCTTGCGCAAAGAGAACCGATATTAGATAGTATATGCCAAACACCAGTGCAACGACTGTGAAGAAAGTGCTAGCTGACAAACCCGTATACTGTGGGATCGAGGACAACGTAGCATTCCAATAGCCGTAAACAAAATCCAGTCCTGCCATTCTTAGATCCTTTACAGGTGATAAGGCAGCTTGCAAGCTTCCAGAATTCCTGAAATGGTCAAGCACACTACATCAACACACAGACTCACGGGTGCTACTCCAATCCAGGAGTTCAAGAGAATAGGCAAAAGCAGTCCCCTCAAACATGCACGAAGCATAAAAGCGTTCAGTTCCAGAAACGAAAAACAGACAATCGGCGACAGACAATCGAAAACCAGCGTTTCAAGAGACGTCTCGATACATCTCTACGATCGGGTAATCGCAACTACCCCGACCCCAAACTACCTCCGGTTCCATACAGAAAACCTCTTTGCCACAAAAAAAGAATCCAAAATCACTACCTCCATAAACCCAAAACTAGAAATGCCAACATGCCCAAGCTTCGCCGTTCCAACTAGACCTACCCGAAAAATTCCTCGTCGAAACCACGGCGACTCCTAGACCACAGCCACTACCCTTCACCGACAACTACACCCGGACAACCAAAACCTACCTTACGTGCAACAGACGCTAACCAATACCCTTCACGCGCACATCCAGAGCAAGCAAAAAGATTTTCTACGGTGGCCGTACAGAAATGCTAACAAATGATATGCTAGGACGCAACGGGCTCGTCACAGCCACTGACCTTGCCGGGAGGATTGGTGGAGTGGAGTGGCGCAGCAGGCAGTGACCCGTCCGAGTAAGCAAGCTTGCAACATAACAACAGGACAAAGACGACCACAACTGCGTGAACACCGCAGAGGTCTTCTTTAACTACGGACCGCGAGGCGATGTCAGACGCTTGACGATGTTGTACAGCCGGGGTTGTGATTTTCTGCCAACTACGCTCTGATCCCTCCTTTTCTATCATCGGTTAGAGGCTGTCTGCATGTACCGAATTCGGCAGTTTCCACAATTTCTTTTCTCTCTCCCTCTCTCTCTTTTGATCTTTCCAATCTGTCATCTACTATCACTTTGTTCTGGAATATCCCACCTGCGCACGAAGCTGCGCTGCGGCGGACTAAAACATTTGGCACACTATTTCTCGTTTGGTTTTCTGACTTGTCGAAACAACCTTTTCACATCAGGAATCGAAAGAGCTGCTTCGGAACATGAAGTCTAGAACCCCATTTTCGAATCCGTCGTGGTGTACCACGAGGACGATTACTATTTCTCCCCTGTTTCGTGCTTTAGTGTTCCAGCGACACCGTACTTTGTCTGTTTTGGTTTTGAATGTGACGAGCTGGGTTGTTGGTGGCAAAACTCCCAAGTATTTCTGCATGATAGCCGCAATACATTTTTGAGGAATATCGTACACCCGCCTAATGCGAACCAATCGAAGAAGCAACGCGGTCACAAGATGGGTGCACATGATAGGAAAAAATTAGTATCTAATGTCCAAAGTACTGCGGTCAAATGCCCCACAAAGCCACAAAAGCATGACCCCCTACAAAAATAAAAATAAATAGAAAAAATCCACCTGCCATCGAAGGTTTCTCCGCGGTGGAGGCGACACCTCAGCCATTCTAGATACTTCTAGCCTTCGATGAATCCCCATTTTTCCAGTGGATTCGGTCATCCTTTCTCCTAGGTCGCAGGTGGAAGTGACAGCGAGCTCCGCCGCCCACAATCTTTGAAGATTGGGACTCTTACCTGTGAGTGATCTTGGTCTGGAATGGAGGTCCAGTTGGTGGGTGTCGAGCTCCGCGCGGGATCGCTATCGCTGGTCATTTTCCAGAAAATTGCTGCGGTCTAAGTTCATAAGCCCAAGGCTGCCGAAAGCGTCAAGGCGCTGAACGATTGCACACGCAGGTGCGTTCGGAGACGGTTCGGGGGTCATGGCAGATTTGGAGCTAATGGCTTGGTTTTTTGCGTTCGAATTGGACCTTATTGGCGTCTCGTAGTGGTGGTTGCGCAGCATGGGTTGCGTAAGGAGGGTTAGTGTCTGTTAATGTCTTTCGATTGTGGTTTGAATGGCGAATATCTGTGGAGGGATTCGTGTTTGGTAATTCTTTGATTTTTATCCTTTTGTATTTTTCACGTTTTTCGAGACGTTTAAGAGACCTTGAGGTGGGAGATTATATTTTGGTGGCGTGGGTTTAATTTGTGAGCTTGAACGAGGTTCGTGGGTTTGGTAATGTATTGCAGAGGAAGAGGACCCAGGTCCAGGCGTAAGAGAATGCGGCCTCTCTTCCGAATGACAGAATGCTGAAGAGTTTGGTGGTTTCATGTGGGAAATTGCTAGTACTATTGTGACATTCGGGGAAAAAATTGCGGAAAGTCACGATGCTGCGCCCAGCTTTCGAGCTCGAAGTATGGATCATGCCACTTCAACACGCAGTTCTTTTGATTGGAGTGACCATATGTATTTCAAAAAACGTTGAGTGTCGAGAGAAATATTTCGTGATTGCTCCAATCAGATTGATTAGTCATTTGTGTTAATGTCCGCTGTTCCTACCTATCACCAGGGTTTTATTACATTTTCCAAATACCTGACGTAATTCGTCTGTCTCCTTAGATAATCATTTATTTGAGGAGTAAATTGGATCAGCAGATGGAGAAAATTAGTAGGGTTCGAATCAGATGCTTATTTGTGTAGTTGGTAAGACTCTGTCACACACTCTCTCTCTCTCTCTCTCTCTCTCGTTTTTCCTTGTTTTTCCCTGTCTTACCCAAGGTTGAGACTGTATTGTGTGTCAGGAGTCAAAGAGAAATTCCCTGAAACATTTCGTACATAAAACTGCTTCTCTTGGAGTGATGATTTTCATGACTTAATCCAACATGAAGACATCTCCATACTTTCAACCGGCGCAGAGTCCGCATGGATCTACACTTACGCTAAAAAATACTTGCATATCCAGTGGCTGCTGATATCGCTAGAACGCAATCCACACCTTGAGCATCACCAGCAGTATTCAAGAGTTCTTCCCTGGCAAGTGTCGACATAGAGTACACGTGATGCAGGAATAAGTTGTGCTTGTAATTAAGTCTGGATTTTTTTTTTTTTTTTTTTTTTTTTTTTTTGAAATTTCAACCTTTGTTTTACAGCTGTTCACATGATTGTGAGCCATGTGATACTATTGTTTGAATGTACGATCAAGTGTTGAGTTGAGAATCTTTGTTGATCCTGCGTTGTGATTGTACTGTGCTGTCTCCAGGGTCCTGCATCGATGTAGGTTGTGATAAATGGATCACCGACTGGTGAAGAGCACTTAAAGTTCGTTTTTTTTTTTTTTTTTTTTTTTTTTTAAGAACATATTCCCTCTCACTAATCTTAAAACGGTAAGATACGATATACTATCGATGTTTTTCATCTGAGTTTTTTGCGTCTTAGCTCTGCTTGCAGGCGCCCTGCTTTCATTGCTATTTTGTTATACTGTGTCCAATCAAGTGATGGCTGGCTTGTTACTTTTCTGAACATCAATTTTTTCTTCTGCAGGTATAACTGAACAATTGTCCGAAGGTTATTGAAGTAGGTCAATGAGAATACCAAGCGCATCCAGTGGGAGCGTCCCGGAATACAAGGAAGTTTATATAGCGTAAGAAGCTACTTGACCTTTGCAAACTGAGCGATGTTAGCGATTTTGCGAGTAAGTTAGTTGCCATACTGCTTCGTTGTCTATGTATTAATGTCTATATTTTTTTCTTTTTTTTCTTAGTGAGATTGGGATGTGTCTTTAGTTTTGACTCCGACTGTTATCAAATAGGTTTCTTCTGTCAAATCAGAGGCTCGATGTATAGTGGTATCGAATTGTGTTAAATCTTCAGAACTCGTTATGGGTCAAAGAGTGAAGCTGAAGACGAGGTAGCAAAGGTGGAGCTGGCTGATGATTTTGGGAGAGAGAATCATGCCTCAGCGTAATGCTGTGAAATTTCATGAAATCGAATCACGTATGACATTGCAGTTGGTGAAAGTTGAAGGAGGATTTATGATGGAGCTGTCATGTCTCTCGAGTATGTGATAAAGACGTCAGAGATTTTGGCTCTAGGGAGATCCAGAGAGCAACGGGAAGCACTTCGTAAATAACGGAGGGCAGAGCAGGAAGCCAATGTTAAGAGGAAGGATAAGAGCGGAACTTGAGGAATAAGAGAAAACCCTTAGAGGGAACGGACAAGGCGGAGGAAGACTATGACGCCTCAGCAGACAATGAAGCAGAAATGAGTCCTGATGGAGGTTCAATTGGGGCTCGTGGATTAAGGAATAATGACATGGAAGATGCTGATTGGTACAGGCAGAAAGTAGGGAAGGAACTTGAACGTAAGTGCAAAGATCTTTTTATGAATCTATTGACTTTGCGGCATGTTCCTTCAGTTTTTTATTTCCTTTACTTCTATGATGCTGGTATCCTGTGATTTCTGAAATGGTTTCAGGTATACTCATAGTTTCAGCAACATCCTTAAGAACTTTAGACTTCATTAGTTGCCGTTTCACGTACAAGAAAGATTGGCTGTATGCTGGTTCTCTGTCTTACAAGGGACGTACTTGGTAATTTCGGGTTCATGGAGTGTATTCGCCCCAGAATCATTCTGTGAAATGCTTTTACATCTTCTATATTTGCAGGCTACTTGGATGGTTAGATGCATAAGAAGTACAGTATTGAATTTTCCACGAGACGACAAAGTGGAAGAGATAGGGAGGAGAGAGCGCCCTGAAAGAAACCCTTGAAAGTAGCAACAAGAATAGACTTGATAGGAAACATGGCGGAAAACTTGGAAAATCTTTCAGTAGAAAATCAGCGACTTGCAAACAGATCGGGTAAAGGAGTGTGTAAGTTTATGGTCAAGTCTCCTTTGGGTAATTAAAAGGGTGAAATGCAAGATATATTTCATCCGTAGTTGAATTACAGGGCGTAGCGACGAGGACGAACGCCCCAGCAAGCACTGAAAACACTAATTAGTAAGTTACAAATTTACACTAAAATCCGGCTGCTATCCTTCGTAAAAACAATTTCTTCTATTTTAGGTGTTGAGCAATAGTAATACAAGTGGACTTCATCACATATGCTTGGATGGAAACGTACAGCTTCTTTTTACAACCGTGCAGTGCCATGGATAAGAACCTCAGTGACCTCAGTGAACTTTTCCCACGAGTGATGATTGTAGTGTTTTCTGGCTAAGCGGGTAATTCAGCATCTTTTTCCTCGATTTATTTACTGCTGCCCATTCTCCAATCCTCTGGAAATCCTTAAATTGGTAGCGAACTACCGTCAGCAAACTCAAGGCAGACCAACGAATCGATGAGAGGTAGTTTTTAAAGCTATACAGTTTGTTACTGCTTTGCATTGAAGTCCATTGGTTGATTGGTTACCCATGCTGTGGATCATCAGGTCAATGGCATTCAGATTAAAATAGCAGATCTCGGATTTCGATTACTAAACTAAGCTTCCGTTATTACAGCAAATGTAGCAATTGGCACCCACAAATGACCGAGTCCAGTCACCATGTTGGCTCTGCAGAGGATTTTAAAACCACTTAGAGTATGTTTAGAAAATGTTCGCCTTTTTGCAGTGAAACGGTGGAAGAGTTCCTTGTTTTCAGACTTATCCTCCCAGAAGAGAAAGTTTGACATTGATTGAAGAGAGACAATCTTCCACCTTCTCAAAAGCTTAACCGGAGTTTAATGACAAAGCCGATCTTACTAATACAGTCTACTTCCATGCCTAGCAATATGGGGGTTTAAAAAGTCACCTTTCGGAGCTCTAATCGCCAAACACCACCTTTCCTTCTTAATACCAAATGCTATCATCCGAACATCATGTCACACACCCACCCAGTAATTGTGAGCGTGAATTGAATTTTTTCTGTGACCAAATCATGTCTTCAACACCTTCGTTTTTCCCAAGTCTTTTCAGGAGGGATAATGTGAGCCATTACTGCTGAATAAAAAGCCTGCAGTGGAGCTTAATTCGAAGTAACCAAATGCATCATTAAGGGTCCATAAATAGTGAAGAAGCAGCATTGGCCAACTCAACGAATGGCTTTAGGTCAGTATGTAAGTTGCATGAGTTTCTATGTGCAACTAATATTGGATGAATGAACCCACAAAAATAGCATAAATTGAACCAATTATTTGAAGCTTCTATGACTGAAAATTTAAGGAGGTAATTCTCAGGAGGAAATAAAATAAAAAAGCGATTAAATTTTAGGGCTCTTTTGTGCTCTCAGTATTTTTAACTAAGAAAGCAAGCATGCAAGTAACTACATGCTCTTTTAAATTGAACTCTCAAAGTGCCATGAATGATTAAGCCACTCTTTCCATGTTATGATAAAGAAGACAAAAGTAAAGGTAAAAAAAAATAATTATAATAATTTTGATACATGAAAATCACATTTTTCGTGTTGGTCTAATAGTGGGTTGCGATAGGTGGAGGCACATTGCCCTTTGTGAAACAATCCCCGTTTTCAAGCACTAATTTTATCAACAATATAACATATGTATTTTATGATTTTTCTTTCTTTGAATTGTCTTCACTATATTTTTTAAAAGCACCATTTTTTTAAACTCCAATCCTAAGTTTGTTTTGTTTGTGAAAACATATATAAATATGTAACATTGAGGGCAAAAAAAAAAAAAAAAAAAAAAAACTTTAACATAGTTTGTAGTGTGAGAAGCCTCTATTGGGCATCAACTTTTGCCTATCATAGCAAAGCGCACTTTGTGGGAACAACCCTTGATTCTACCCCCTTTATTTATAACGAAATAATCTCATATACAAAAATAATAAAAGCATATTGGAATTGCTATTTGAAATAAAAATTGCACTCAACCAACTATATACTAGAAGCTGATAAGGAAGCTAATAATGGACGCATAGCTGTGGAATATTGAATATAATATATACAGAGCCTGGGCCCCTGTTTCCGTTCAAACAAACTTGGGTCCCCTATTTCCGCTCACACCCAAAGGCCCTTCCCAATTTCTGTGTTATAATTTGGGATGAAAATAACCCAATTGTTATTATGCCAAAATGAATGAATGAATGAATAAATGTTGCCTCTATTTTTTATTCCTACCGGCAATTCTCTTATTTGTATCAATGTTCGGGGCATATCCATCGTTGATTCTTTTCACAATGCTTAAAATGTGCGTGTTGTCATTCATCCATATAATGAAATATGGATTGATTATATATAATTTTTGATGGGTGTCAAATGGGACTTCTCCGGATTGTCAGCTTAAAAATCAAAAGGTTATTTTGAAGTGGGGTTGATATTAGTGTTCCGTGTATATTCTGATAATTTCTACGACTATATATATATATATATATATGAAACAATGGAATAAAGCAGAATTTGCAATATACTCTTTTTATACATATTGATTTTTATTTCTATGATAATATCATGTGTGAAATGGGTGTTTTTTTTTGATAACTATAGCATTCATGGTTATTGTTGAGAAGGATGAAAAGTAAAAAACAATGATGGTATGTAATTTGACTTTACATTTGTACATCTAAACAAGGGTGCGAATACATGAATAATATACATATGCTCTCATCATCTCATGACATTGCATAATAAAAAATATAAATAAAAATAAAAAGTGCTTTCAATCATTGGGCAAATAATCATGCAAACTTTGCTACATAGAAACATGTTTAAGAACTCAGATTCTTTACGTTAATTTTGTTTAACATGAGGATGAATAGGTAAAAAAATTAAATCATATAACTTGACCTTGGGAACAACCATTAAAGTAAACCTTTGATAAATTATTGTGTGATTCTGAAATCAAGCACATTTTACAAAGGGAGTGATTTTGAAATAATCATAACCCATCCACAATTCAAGCAGAAGAAATACCAGTTAATTGAGTAAATAAAATACATGTTATTTAGAATACTTTAAATATCATATGATTAGGGTTGATGAAAATAAATACCGTCTTTGCAGCTATTTTAGTATTTTGGAGGTGGTACTTAAGGTATTTGATATTCTTTTTCATCAATGTAAATGATTGAAAAAAGTAGTGAATTTTGTTATTGAGAAGTTTGGTCTGGTTGGTGCTTACATGATAAGAAACGATATGTTGGAAGCTTTCTTTTTATATTTGTTAATATCAATAATGCCCAAATAATTTTGTGATGATGGGATTTAAGAATATTGAATAATGGTTTGCATATTTCCCAAATTCCAAATATTATCAATTTGACAATGTTCTTTGGAATGTTGCTAAGAAAAATGCATAATAAATATTTTGAAAAGCAATCATTTAGCTTTTTTGGGATAAAAATATCATTTGCTGAATTCTGAGATAAAGCCCTTCTGTTTTACTAACCAAAGTATTTAATAAGCTGGACTTAGTATGGAAGAATTTGAAAGTTTTGAAAATAAAGAAAAAAAATCCAATACCCAAGTATTAATAAAACCATAAAAAAAATTACAATCAAAAAATAAAATCGTATTCATTTATTAGATCTTATTTATACAATTTCTCTCTATGGAAAAAAAATAAAAAAAGAAAAAAGAAAGAGAGATAAGAAAACATAAATTGCATTACAGTTTTTTTGATTTATATTGTTTTGATGAATACATTAAACCTTTTTTCAAGAAATTGTAAGTTGGAAGCTTAAAGAAGTTATATATATATATATATATATATATACACACACACACACACACATCCATATACACACACTCATAATATAATGTTGGACAGCTTCATATGACAAAAATAGCTAAACAAATAAATAAACATATTCAAGCTAAATACCGCAGAAGAAGAACCGAATACTCAGCGGAAAGGGGCAAAACGGCGCGCCGATAACCGGGTGGCTTATGACCCAGCAAGCTCCGAGGCAACATCAACAAGTCAGGTTTATGCCCGGAACTCGAAATCCAGATATCAACCCAACAAGTGCATCAATCCACCTTGGAGGGCTGGAGGGACGGGGATGGAGAGGGACGGGTCCCCTGGTGTGAGAGCGAGAGAGTAGGGCCGAGTCCCGCCATATCATACGGAAGGCAAAAGGGGCGGGGGCGGGGTGAGAGAGAGAGGGAGAGATGGGGGCGGGGTGGGCGGGGGCGGGAGCAGAGCGGGAAGCCCGCCCAATTTGTCGCAAACTATGCAACTGCGCCTCTCTTCTCTCGTCTCGTCTTGTGGTGAGGAGGAGGAGGAAGGAGAAGCCATTCATCCCTTCTGTCTGTCTGTCTCTGCTCCATCCCACCTTCCCTTCGCTTTGCTTCGTTGTTTGTTTGTTGGTTTGTTTGCTGGATTTGCCTTTTTCTGTTGTCTATGGTGGATGCATGGTGCTGTTGTCGATATTCTCCTCCCTCTTTCCCCTTCCTTTCTCTGTTTGCGTGCGAGTGAGTGTGTGAGTGTGTGTGGGAGAGAGAGAGAGAGAGAGAGAGAGATTGAGATTGATAGTGTTTCCTCTTCGTTCTCTTCTCTCCGTCCTCTTTCCGTTGGTTGGTTTCATTCGTGTTGTTATGGGAGGCCGAATTTTATGGCGCTTTTCGCCTCAAGTGGTAGGAGCGTAGCAACGGAGTCGTCGTCAACGTCGTCAATGTGGAGGTGGAACATCCGCAACAACGTATTGTGTCGTCGTCGAGACTTCATCATGGAATAGATAGGGAGAGGGGGAGGGAGAAGGGGGACTAGTCCCTGCCTGCGATGGCAGAGTTATGATTTTGATTTTGGTTTTTATTTTTATTTTTTTATTGGCTTACCTGGAGTGTAATTGAGTTTTCATCCGATTGTTGGACGTCGTCGAAAAGAACAGAGGAGAAAGCAAGCATGGTGCTTGCGTGAAGGTGCTTTCATTGGGAGACGAGATGCGAGTCCGCTTTTGATCAATCCTCAGGTCGACTGCCTTCATTGGAGTGCCCTTGTGGTCGGATTGTTTCGGATGTGTGTTTTGTGGGTTTGAGAAAAGGAGGATTAGGAATGAGAAGTGAGTGATTGAGGAGAGGCGTTCTTGGGGCGGGTAAATGGGAGGGGAATTTCGGGGTTATGAGAGAGATTACGGTGTGTTTGGGGGATTGGTGATGTGAGTTTACCTAAGTGACACAAGACAAGACGAGATGATACGAGATGAGGCTTGTCGCGTTGATGATGACAATGATGCTGTTGGTGTGGGAGTAGGAGGCGGTGTGTTATGACCTGTGGAAGGAGATGAGAAGTTTGACTTCGCTGGGTAATGGTAGGGGGAGAGGTTCTGTCTGGGCGTCTCAGATTATCAACACTCGCAGCTCATCCGCATAGAACACGGTTTGAGTTTGAAGTTATCTCCATGCTCTCTCTGTGATGTCCACAGTCAATCGGTGGAATGGGTAGTTTTTCGAGTTCCATCTATTCGGATTGATTTAGTTCATGTTACACGCTCATATTAATCTGGGCTGAGGACTAGCGAGGACTCCCTACGTTTTTAATTTGCTGCCCTGCACCCTGCTGGCATGTGTTTATCAATCTGGTGTTCTTTGACGATTAGTATCATCCCATTTCCGCATGCTGCGCTGTAATAGGTGTCATACCTTAGGCTCCCCAAGTCAAGGCTACGACTGTTTTCACAATGCCGAATTTGATTATGGCGTTTTCCTCTCCCTTCCTACTATTGGCACTGGCGCAGTGTTGGTGAACGCAATTGAGGTTTTGGAGATCGCGTGGGTGTTGATGATCACCTCCGCATGGGATATTTTCTTGTAGTTTTGGTTCTAGGTCGACTATCCTGCATTTGATGCAACGTGTGTGAGGGAAGACGTATGGAAGATTTTAGGTCCGACACGCTGAATCTTGCGTCATATCCAGGGTTGGGGAGCAATGTAGCCATGCCCCATTCACAGGCGCCCGTATGGAAGGCCGTGCATTCAGTAAATCCCAAAGTTGAGCCCAACGAGGTCAACAGCCTCTTATATTCAAATGTAGGTGTTCGTGATGTTCTTCGCATGGTCACCAATGGTTTAGGGATATCTTGTACTGCAGTTTGATCCACTGTGAACGATAGCGATGTAAGTTCAATTCAAGTGCAGTGCACATATTGAGCCTAAGCTCTTCTTGGGCATTCTCTAGTATCTTGGTCTCATGAGAGTATCAGACCTATTTTGATCCAGGGACTTAAACCCCAGGGCAGCTTTTTGTTCCCAAATCAATTTTGCCCACGACCGTGTAGGTCGGGTGCTAGGGACTCTATGGAATCTTCAGGACTTCTTCGAGGTGTTATTATCGTTGTCTCCCGATTGTCAACCTAATATTTTATGCTCAATGTTGTCTCTGTGATAGATGAAGCGGAGGAATGAGTGTGAAGAACACCACGTCGAGATGAACGGCTGGAATGGATACACGAATTCAGATCTGAGCCCTGCTCCAACTCCCACAGGTCCCAGGGGTAGAGGCAGCCGTGCTAAGACAGTGAAGCAGACGAAGAATGGCCCGCAGACTCCAGGGCCTTCAGGCATTGGTAGGACACAACGCTGCAGAGCTGTCTTATTACCTTTGAACACTAGTAGTAGATTGAGATTGAGTACAGAGGTCTTCATGATAACCTCTGGGATTAGTTCAAAAATGATTTTTTCTTAGGTGGGGTTTTAGGGCAGACAAGGACATCCTTTCTCTGATGGTCTACACGGAGGACTTGTATGCGCGACCTTAGCTTTTATTTAGAATACCATCTGCAATTTTGAAGCCGATAAGGAAACAGTAGAAAGTTGCGCAATCCTGTAGCTTACGGCTTGTGTAGCCGTATTATGATACATCTCCACTTTTCTGAGAACCAACAACGAGTTCGGCACAGTCTAGGATAAACGTTTTAATGTATTGTAGAAAGTCTAGTAGATGATGCAAATTTCAGTTTCTCTGACCTTGTATTCAACAAAGTGGCCACCTCCTGGCCGAGCCACTTCTGACTGTAATGTGACCATTTGCAGGCTCTCCCACAAGCAGTGCACCGACTCCTACCAGCACCTGTCGCTACGACAGCTCTCTTGGTAACACCAATCTTGCCCTTTGAATCATAATAATTTTAGATGCAACTCGGTTCCCTGTGCTGTTCCCCGTCGTACATATATAGGCGAGAATAACGCATTTCAACGTGTAAGAATGTGAACTGTAGATTGCAAACCAATTCTATATCTGAACAGAGCGACATATTAACACCACGTGATTATTGCTCCTTGCTTTGCGTCGTTATCACCCAGGTCTCTTGACGAAGAAGTTCATTGACCTTATAAAGCAAGCAGATGATGGAGTATTGGATCTCAACAAGGCTGCAGATACTTTACATGTTAGTGTTTTACCTGATTCTTCCTTACTTTAGGACTGTCGTAGGGATTCCGTTCTGATGGTCATCAGACTACTGCCAATTTGTTGATCATGCATGATAGTTTATATATATATATATATATGAATGATCCGTGCCGTGTATGTTATGTAGCGCTGTTATCCTTTCATTTATTTCAAGTAAATAACTACCTCTTTTTAAGCTGTTCTCTGACATCAGACGATGTACAATCTTGGGTTTCACCAGGTACAAAAGAGGAGGATATATGATATTACCAATGTATTGGAGGGAATTGGGTTAATTGAGAAGAAGCTAAAGAATCGAATCAGATGGAAGTGAGTATATGTCTCATGGAACAACTGTACAAGCTAAACCTATTGGAGTTGCATACGAAATCAGCATCCAGGATTTAGTCGCAAATGAGTTATTAAGTTTACGCACTGCTAGTGAGAATACCGTGTGAGCAGTTTTCTTTGAATGTGGGTGCAGGGGTCTAGGAATGGTACGAAATGCCGAAGCTAAGGATGATGCAGCAGGGCTACTGGTACGTCCTGTTTGGTTCACCTATTTTTGTTGCGTCAATTCTGTTTTTCACCTTTGTACTACCTCTTCTGTTATTATCACTTTTGTAAAGTATCTCCTAATTTTACCATCACTACAAATTTAATATCATGTATTACACTAGAGCACTCTTCAGAAGTCGAGCTAGACACGGTAATCTTTTGGGTGCAGAGGCCAGGGTTATATTATTTATTCAATGGAATTTTATGAATGTCCGGTTGCCCTAGAGTGCTGAAAATCTGATGGCTGTACGGTAATTCTTATTTGAGCAAATAGTTACACCAATATCGACCTCGTTATGCTGGTTCAGGTCCAACAAGTCAAGGGTCAGTGCTGACCGATGCCTGCATGAACTATTTGAAATACTACTATGCATTGATTTTACCATCGAATCTTAATTGTCAGTGGTGGGGTCTTGATGCAGGCTGAGGTGGAGGACCTACGCATTAAAGAGAAGAAGCTCGATGAAAGCATTAGGTGAATATTGTTATTTATCAGGAAGTTTTACAAGTTCATATTTCACATATTCAACTAATATCCTTTTAATTTTGTTGTGGAACGTATTCTGACAGTTGCAATTCATATCTTGTGGTTTGCAGTGAAATGAGAGAGCGGTTGAGGAGCTTAAGCGAAGATGAACACAATAAGCAGTGAGAATTCTGCCTATGTTCTCTTGTGATGAATTCGGGGGTGGTTAAGGGTCATAGTTGCGTCTTCCTTTTCTAGTTGTGCAATTTGAGAACCTTGTCCATCAATCTAGACACGGACATATGGAGTCTGTTGAGACACGATATATGGATTTTTTTCGAGTTGGATATCTTGTGTTGAGGACTTATCTTTTCTGTGCAGATGGCTGTATGTTACTGAAGACGACATAAAAAATTTGCATTGCTTTCAGGTGAGCATAGAGTTTCTGGTTTGGTTCCATTTTCCGTTGACTGCATTGTGGCAACTTTGTGATTCTTCAAGAGCTTTTGTATTGTTGCTTCTCTCTGAAAGACTTGACATAACTTAAGACTAAGTACTTCGGTATTCTTGGTGTTTGCAGAATGAGACACTTATTGCTATCAAGGCCCCTCTTGGGACGACTTTGGAAGTTCCAGATCCAGATGAGGTATATCATCTGTGGGTTGGAATTTATGTCAATTGATGATGATGTTCTTAATACCCGCCTGAGCTTAATTGAATCGTCTGTCTATTCGGTCTCTACCACACGTGTCATCTTTCGTTTTTATATACGTCTCAGAAAACTATCTTCGCAGTCGATTATCATGAAGGTAGATTTTTCTGACTTTTTAGCATTATGCTCTGCAGGCAGTTGAGTACCCTCACAGACGCTTTCAGATTCTGCTTCGCAGCACTTTGGGACCCATTGATGTTTACCTTGTCAGGTTTGTGCGCTCCTTCGTGTACGTTAGAAAGTTGCATCTTTAAATAAAAAAATAATTAATTTTTGTCTAACGTTGCATGTGGGTGCTTGCTAACTGTTCCATAAATGCGATGGAAACATAAGGTTGAAAAACTTTTTTTGTTTGTGTTGTTGGTTCTGTTATCGAACACCTAGACATGATTTATTAGGCAGCTAATTCAACATGTTTGAATATATTTCTTCTTGCGTGAATTGTGTTGGATATCTCGGAGGTATTAAATACCTTTTTCTTAGATTGGGGGCACCGGAGATGATGATTGGTTCATGTTTCCGTTTCTTGTGCAGTCGTTTTGAAGGTCGTACAGAGGTTCCCATGGAGACTCTACCTGATTCCCAGGAGGCCGGTCCATCTTCATCTGTCGATGGCATGAGCCATCAAGAGAATATGGTTATGGTTCCTGAGGTAGGCTATGGCCTATCAGATTTGGTTCCTCCTGTTAGCCACGAGTCTGCATCTCAGGCCCCTGAGCCCACCGGTTCTCATCCTGACTTTGCGGGGGGGATCATGAGAATAGCGCCTGCAGAGGTCAATGTAAGTTTCTTATCATGTATATGGATGTTACATCTTCGACAGAGTGACACGAATTTCCTTCAACCAATATCTTCTAGAAGCTTGTTACCATCTTGATATTTGGTTGTGTTGTTGGGTGGTGTTCGGGTTGTCTTACAGACGGATACAGACTACTGGTTGCTATCGGACGCTGGTGTTGGCATCTCAGATATGTGGAGAAGTGATCGTATCCTTTTTAAGAAAAGTTTTAAAGTTTGGGCTGCTGGTCTAAATGCTCGTTGAAACTTGTCAGCTGTCTCTGTCCTAAATGTTTACCATACTCTTTCTTGTCCCTGTCTATTTTGACTAGCTGTCATGACCTTCTCCTTGTTGTGTGCTATTTAATGTCATACCTTGACCTCTTGTAACTACAGCTTCCAACGCAATGTGGGATGAAGTAGTCAGACTCAATCCAGAGTTTGGAAGCGAGAACATTGGATCACCACGACCTCATACTCCGCCATCCAACAACGCCCTGGAGGTAGACCCGGTTAGTTGAGTACGGATGCCTTTTTCATCTACTAGGCCTAGCCTGATACAATATCCAATTACAGGTCTTAAAAAAACCGCGTGGGTGGCAGTGACCTTAATTGTCGGTTTCCGTAATCCGCAAAGGTTTGACGGTTATCTTGCTTGAATATTGTGTCCTTCAACCTGTACACTAAGGGGAGGTCCCACACTCGCCGCACTTGTGTTAAAATCTTCATAGCTGGGATATGTGCCAAGTCTGGTGCTTATGCATGTTGGTGTCAGCTCTTAAAGCTGAGAAAACAGTTTTCCAACTGCTCAAGCTGCTGTGACCGTGACACCAGAGATGTTGGTTCGGGCCATCTTTCATAGAGTTCGAGTAAGTAAATGGTCCCGTTAGAATGAACAGACTAGCACGTAGCATGCATTCTCTTCGGTTTAAGCTAAAAGAGCTTATTCTGTGTAAGGTGCCTTACAAGCTGCAGGGTTCCTGCATGAGGAAATAGCCAACCGCTTCCTGATTCTTTGAGAATGTTCTTGGTGGTTTAGCACTAAGATTTATGGCAAGTGAATGTAAAGTTGTGAAATTTCTTTCTGCGAACAGATGTGGAGAGGATAGAGTGCCTTTGTGATGCGAAAAGCAAAAATATCAGCGTAAGCAGGGTGCTACTCTGTGCCTTTCCGTCCAAACCATGTCATCTTCATGTCAATGGAGAGGTTGTAATAAATGTTGATGTAAAACTTTCTTGAAAGACGTGTTCATGAAAAAATGCTCTTCTGTCAAGTTATCAATAGATGTGTGCGCCTTGACTGGAACGAGGTACTTCGAGGCAAAATCAATAGAAAGATCAGATTGAAGTGGGATTCTTTAAATGTGTTAATCACGTGGTTACCAATTCTCTCACGGTGAACACTGGTTCGGTTCTATGCGTTTCCTGCGAAATGCTGTGAATCCTCGATGTCTTCATCCTTGAAAATTTTGGTTGACCTGAAATGAAAAGGCCGAAATTTTTCTGCATCTCGCGTACAAAATTGTTCTATCGAAATTCCATCTCTTCCATGTCCAGCTTTACTTCGATCTGTTCATTTCTTAAGAGGTGAATGTACCTGTGAATTTCAGTCTCTGTAATGGACGTTGCGGGATCCTCGTAATTGGGAACAATTTGATACCGTCCCAGAATGTGAGATTTAGAGCCACCATGAGCTTGGGACTGCAGAATCACATCAGCTGGATGAGACTACTGTCTCACATCAGTATCTCTTGTTTCATCAACGTGGTGTCGTTTCATTCGAAACGTGCAATCCCATCACACCTGTCGTCTGTCGTCTATGTACCCATATCTTCTACTAGGAACGTGAAAGCCGTAAATGCTGAGGAGAATAGGTTCCTAACTTCGCAATTTGTAACTGATCATCAAACGACATTGGCCTCAACGAACGGAGACATCATTGTTTAGTTTCAAGGGAATTCAGCCTCGAGACTTAGAATTCAACGGTGAAACTGAAAAGAGTGTATGAGGCATTCCAGGAGCATAATAGCGAGAAATACGAGCAAGAGAGCCATCATCAGCAGCAAAAGCAACGCAGGGGCGCATCTTCGCTGATCCCTTTCTCTTGCAGGAGAGTCACTTGACAAAGACAGCCATTGCTTACAATGTTCTTCATCTTCCTCAACTCTTAAGGCAGTCGGTAAGAGCAGCGGGGTTCCTTGTAATCGCTTCATTAATTAAGGTCTGCATAACAGGATTGCAAAATATTAGCATTGGGGAGTCAGCAAGCATGCAAAACAAATGGCACTCTCAAGGGCTTAGAAGGTCGTGTTTCAAATTTTTGGGAGTGTAGGAGATAATATGTGGAATGGACATTTTCAGAACCTTGGGCAGGAAATAAAAGGTTTAGCACCAAAAATCTGTCAAGTAAGTTCTAAATCATCGAAGATATTATAACTCAAACAATTTAATGGACCGATTTTAATCTGAAGTTGGTGAACTCGATAGGCTTGCTTCAACTGCGGTGGCAAAAAGGAACTAAGCATTCGTTCAAGGAAAGACATAAAGACGAAGAGTCAATAATAATAGACAAGCTTTCAATTACGGTAACAAGAGAAGATGCAACAAAACAGATCAGCAGGCAAACAAACGAACTCCGCCTCAATCCCAACAAAGAAACCTGTGTTATGTGACCTTTCCAATCTTTTCGAAGATCGCTTTCTAGGACCCCACAAATTTCTGATTCGCTCACCATCAACACACGGAATCGAGAAGCACCCAGGGAAATTCAGAATTTAAGCTGTGCAACTCACAATGTGTCAATAGCACCACAGCGCCTCGGATATCAGCACCCCTACCTTCTTCCTCAACCAGATTTGCACGGCAGGGTTTGAGGCACACAAACGCCCTCGTACCACCGTAGCTAGAAGGTAACCTTATTATATACGGGTATCTGATGTATAAATACTCTGTGCTTGTGATAATAAAATAAGTTGATTCAAGTAATTTAGTATCAAAGCAATTCTCTTAATTAGGAAGTTGTAGCCAGAAGGCAAGCACTACTTCGTTACTAGTGAAAGGTAGCCACATACAAGCAAAAGATAGATAGCATGTTGTTGTATAATGTGAAATCTTACTTGAGAATACATTGGGCACCTAGCTATGGAAGGTAAATAGAAAATGCAACAATAAGATCCTACCAAGTCTAATAGAATCTTAATTAAATTCTAAGTCATCCTTAACAACTATAATCAAATTGTAATCAATCAAAAAGAAATTGAAAAGAAATTACAAAAGAAACACAAAGAAGTCATAAATTAATTTCAAAGAAAAATAATAAAGAAATCTTAAAGAAGTGTAAAAATAAAATATTTAAAGAAATAAAAATAACCTTAAATAAATACTAAAAATAAAATCACTTAAAAAACAAAATCCTAAATAATACTAAAAATAAAACTTTAAGTAAATCCTAATTAAATCTTGATGTAGCCCTAAATAAACTCTAATGAAATTTTAATAATCTTAAACAAATCTTAACAAAATCTTAAGTAAATCTTAAACAAATCTCAAATCAAACTCTAATAAAACTCTAATGAAATCCTAATCCAATTCTAAACTATATTTTAATCAAATCCTAAACTCTAAACCAAATTCTAATGAAATCTTAATAAAATCCTAGACTAAACCCTAATGAAATTCTAATGAAATCCTAAATCTTAAACCAAATTCTTAAAAATCCAAAAAAAATCCTAAATAAATCTTAATTATTTATTAAAGTTTTAAAATCTCAATAAATATTAATCAAATCATTGATCTTGATTAAAATTTTACTTATATTTCAATCTACAAGCAATTAACAAGTAAACAAAATTTGAAGAGTATCAAACCCACCAATTGAAAGAAAAGCTCCCAAAATCTCTTAGACGTTGGCTGCCTTCCTTCTCCAACTTAGATATTGATCTTCTAACAATGATTTTTCTTTACTAAACTATTAAATTGCTTCAAAAATTGGCTAGTGTGTAAATATCTAAGTCTAAATTGCTTTCACTAATTTTTGCTTCAATCGAATTGGCGGATGTTGTTAGATTGCAAAAACCCTCATTGATCCTAAATTTCAATTATTCAAGACCATAATCCACAAAAACTCTCATAACTATCAATTTAATTGTATAATTAACATCAAATTTTTCAAACATATTTAAGAAAAATATAATAATAGATGTACTAAATTTCATCTATAAATACATTACAACACTCATAAAATCTTCAAATTTGTAAACTTCTTATTTTTCAAAATCCAAATCCACTAAATACATCTCTCATTTTGAAAAGCCTTCAAAACCTCAATATATTTTCAAATCACATGAAATCAACTCTCAAAATTCCCCTCACTAGTTTTCTCTCAAATTCCACACTTTGATGAACCAAAGAACTTTAGAATCACGATAAGTACGCAATTATGTGCCTCACAATTTGATTTTGACCTTGGTTCACAACTAGTCCTCTTTGAAAATCAATTCTTCATATTTTGAGATAATTTTTTGCTAAATCCTATACTTAATTCTCTTCTAAAAATGTCTATATCAATTATTTATTTTATTTACTTTGATTTGATTCACTTATACTCCTAAAAAGAAAGTAGAAGGTTCTTTTTCAAAAAAACAACATTACCATTTATTAATTTTTACAACCTCCTTATCTATTATCTATATTTCTAAGATAATTTGTTAAATCATATTTTTGTTTAAATTCATCTATAATATAATCTTTTCTTTCTTCTTTCACCATATAGTTGCATTATCACATGACAATGTATTCTCTCTTGCAAAAGTAATACATGATGTTTGATAAAGTCTTGAATTGTGAGATGGATGAAACAAACAAATTGATAAATCAACAAAACTACAATGTTTGGAGCTTGAAGATTTTGAAGTAAAAGAATCTTTGTAAACTAGTTGAGTCAAAAAGCCTCCCAAGTCAATATTCTACAATTGTAACAAGAATGATATACACTAAGATTGAATTAAGAGAGTTAAAACAAAGGGCATAGATTAACCATATCATGTCACCAAGAAACAATCTTATTGGAATAGTATGACAACACAACAATCTTCCCAACTCATGGAATATATTATAGTTGGGGACCAACAACAAATACTACTATTAAACAAGGAAGGTGGAGACATAAATGCATACTTCATTGATGCAATGAACATGCTCAACCAACTTAGTGGAGCTATGGAATGGTGATCCAAGGGATCATACATCTCTTAGATCCAACTTTAGAGGACGTTATGGACAAGTTGCTAGCAGAATCACATTGCATGGTGATTAGTAAGCAGAAAGAGGCGCTTGAGGTTCATCTACAACGTCACTTTTCTGGGTAGAGAGGGAACTAACACTTCAGAGGAGGACATTGAAGGGGACGCAACCCTAAATGACATCCTCAACAGTACCGAGACTCGTCTACATCCACCTTCAATACACTACAACATCGTCAACCAAATCGCATCCGCCGCCCAAGAGTTTAGCAAACTCACTTCCGAGGAAACAGAGTAATCTACTGCTACAATTGGAGGACCCAGACACTTAGCTCGAGAGTGTCGACAATACCCAAGAGCTGCATACTACGTCGAAGGCGATCTTCAGTCTCACTATACCAACGCATTGACTAAAGCAAACCTGCTGGACTATCACAATCGACATCGGTACATGGATTCGGGAGCAAGCAACCACTTCACATGTGAAAGAAGAAATATACATTCGATGGATATTTCTCCTTCAAAAAAGAGTGTAACAACGGCCGATGGAAAGTCTCATCGGGTTGATGCAATAGGCTCTTCGAGTGTTTCAACTAGTTTTGGTTCAATAAACTTAAGTAACATTTTATATGTCCCGGCTTTACATCGAAACCTCATATCTGTCGACGCTCTAAACAGACACCGGACATACAAGAAATGTTTAGTATTTGATAATGGATCAAACAAAACAGTCATTGCAGTAGGAAATTGGGATTCTTCAAATAGACTTTACATATTTTGCAACAAGCAGATGGAAGCACTAATCAATACTGTAACAGTAGAAGCAAACATAAAATTGTAGCACAAACAGTACGGCCACTTGCATAATGCGGGTCTCTTTTACTTATCGTCAACAAAGCGGGTGAGCGGCTTACCTATTTTCCACAACATGCACAAGGTTTGCGAGGACTGCCTAGCCGGACGATAGCACCGAGAACGAATTCCGAAATCATACATAAACAGATCTTCCCAAGTACTTGATCTTATCCATTTCGACTTAGTTGGTCCAATTTGAACTCCTTTGTTGAGAGGATCACGATACTATATTGCGTTTACAGATGATTATTTCAGAAAAACTTGGCTGTATTTCATGAGATGCAAATCAAAAACATGCGAAAATTTCTTATGATTCAAGGCAAGGGTAGAAAACGAAACTGGAAGGAAAATACTGTGCCTACGAACGGAAAGGGGCGGAGAATACATGTCGTCAGAATTCAGTACATACCTCAATAAAAACGGAATTAGGCGGCAGCTCACCAATAGAACGGTGTGAGTGAAAGAAAAATCCGCACTATTATTGAACGTGCCAGATCCATAGCTGCCACCTGTAAGTGTCCCAAATTTCTATGGACAGAATTAGTGAACACCGCAAACATGCTCATAAACTTGAGCCCAACACGTGCCAACAACGACATGATTCTAGAAGAAAAGTTTTCAAGGACAAAACCACGTGTTGACAACCTACGGATCTTCGGCTCAGTGGCTTACCTCCACATACCGAAAAAGAACAAGACAAAGCTAGATAGCAAAGCCCTTAGATGTTTCTTTGTCGGGTATGAGGACAAAAGCCGAGGGTATCGATTGTTTGATCCCATTTGCAAAACACTGCACTTAAGCCTTGATTTCGTTTTCGATGAGACCTTGGTAGGATATCACCACCTTCATGTTGAACAACCAAAATCTGATGAAATAGTCTCATTTCCAAAAACTAGCACATTAAAATCTGATAATCAGTACGTTACCATTGTTGAAAATCAAGAAAAAACCATAGATGTCGAACTGCAACCTGAACTCGACCATCTACCTGAAAACCTACATCCTTCAAACTCGACAGAACAAACTAGTCTGATAGGAGATCTACTTTGCTCTTCATCGACAGCTCACCATGAACCTGCTGAGCAAAGAAGGTATCCGATTAGGAATTGCAAACCAAATCCACGTTACTTCATCTAGATGTTAAAACAACTTTTCTGAATGGAAATTTGATTGAAGAAGTGTACATGACAATACCACCGGGATTCAAAGAGAAAAGCAGTGAAAGGAAAGTATGTAAATTGCAAAAGGCGCTTTATGGTTTACGTCAAGCTCCAAGAGCCTAGTATGGGAGAATTGACACATACCTTACAAGCCAAGAATTCAAATGAAGCCAAGAGGATCTCAACATGTATCTTTCAATCAAGGAAGGAAAATACATCATCATTCTACTCTATGTCGATGACATAATAGTCATAGGAGATGATAAACACAATATATAGTGACTTAAAACAACGTTGATGACAGAATTCGATATGACAAATATCGAGGATGCTTGCATTTATCTTAGGGTGAAACTGCACTATGACAAACATGGAATCTATCTCCATCAACGTAGATACATTGAAAAACTATTAGACAAGTTCAACCTCATATAATGCAAGCCCTTACCTATTCCAATGAACCCTAAAAAAAAACTGCAGAAAGAGACTAACACTCCTGCTGTTGATCCCAAATCCTACCAAAGTCTCATAGGAGGGCTCCTATGTTTCACCACAATTAGATGGGATATACAATACACAATTGGCTGTCTATCAAGATATATGCAAAATTCCCAAATCGCACACATGGTTGCAGCTAAGAACGTTCTACGGTACTTGAAAAGATCGCAGGACCTCGGAATTTTCTATCTAGCAAACAACAATGAAGGATTGCTTACTTACGCGGATGCGGACTGGGCTGGTAATACGGACTCCAGCAAGTCAACATCTGGAAGTTTGTAAAAACTGGGAACTGCTCCAATCACGTGGTCTAGCAAATTACAACCCACACTAGCACTGTCATCTACCTCTTTCCAAAGTACAGAGTACAGAGTACAGAGTTCTTCCCAAAGCAGCCAAAAACATCACGTACTCCTGCCGGCTGTTGCATGAATTACAAATACAAGATACTGAATCTACACCACTTCTCTGCGATAACATCAACATCATCAAACTAGTTCGAAACCCTGTAATGCATAACCGCACAAAGCATATCAACCTCGACCATCACTTCATCCGAGAGAAACACCAAGACATCAGCATACATATAAATTATATACCAACTCAGGAGCAGCAAGCAAATATCTTTACGAAACCCTTGGGATCTAAATTTTTCATTAAAAACATGGGAGTATCGTTAAAAGCATATCATTAAGATACACACTCCATCAAAGCGTGAACAAACCCTCGAGCCACTACTCGATTCAGCTTCACAATTCGAGGCAAATCATAGAGGATTAAAAAAAAAAAAAAAAAAAAAAACTACTGCGACCCTAACTCTTCATGAAGTCCTCTGCCTCATGTCTTGTTCTGAAACATCTAAACTCACAATTTCTATATCCATTAATCTGTAGTTGACATCCCCCCCCCCCCCCCCCCCGCCAAGATGAATACACCCTAGTTGAAACTCCTACGTACCGCATAGTACCTTCGAATCTTGTGAACCAGTTGATCATTCAAACCCTAAGGTGAGCGGCTCCAAAAACCTTCAAACCCCAGCATGTTGTTCCTCAACTGCTCCCCACTTGCCTCATGCAGAGAGTTGGGTACCTTTGCCTCAGACCCCCTAAAAATATTTATGCGACGAAGAAACTCCAATAATCACAATGACACTGCACCAATCACACAATTGTATAACTACCGAATGGCTACAACAAGCAACCACAACGCGAGAAGAACAACCTGAAACTACATACAAACAATTAAGCTTAAAAATGTCCTATTACAAATTTTTGGAAATCAAAATCAAATATAGAACTTACGTACCACAGTCAGATCGTCCATTAAAAATCATAATCTCTCAAAAACATCCGTAGTAGCAACTCTGTATCGAAGTATCGTTAAAAGAGGTTGTGTGAATTGAAAGAGGGTGTTGGTAAAGCAATCTAACACACCCTCTTGATCAATGTCACGTAAACCCTACTATATATGGGTATCAGATGTATAAATATTTTGTTCTTGTGATAATAAAATAAGTTGATCCAAGTAGCAAGGAATCCATGACACTTGAATCAAAATTAAATTCGAGACTTCACCTATACCTCGATTGAAGAGAAGCGTATTGGGACGCTCCTTGCCAGAAGACTTTTAGAGGACTGTCGCAAATCTATCCAAGAGTACTATAGTCTCTGGAATCAAATGTACTGAAATTATTTGCTGCCAATTTTCTACAAGGCTTTGAAATGTATGGTGTGAAAGGAAACCATTACAAAAATTGATCCTTGCAAGTCATTTATAAACAAGGCAAAGAATATCGCTACATGAAATGTTCATGAAAAGCAAATGAACCTGTAAAGCAAGTCATTGATCATATAACAATAATGTAAAAGCAACCAGACTTGCCACAATATTTTTTTGCCAAAGTGTAAACTTGATATAGCATGGATGAAAGCACATTTGTACATCATCTAATCATTGGAAACAAAGTTCAAACAATTGCCTCAAAATAACTGGTTCTTAAGTCAGTTCAATAAATGGAACAGGGGGAGAGCACGATGACGCTCCCGAGCACCTTGTCTTGTAGAGAAGGTAGACTTCGAGAGAAACTGCACCGCATGAATTGCTGCTCCTAAGTGAATTGTTGTTCAATCACAAGTGAAGTGAGGGAGTAAATATTATCCAATCTAATCTTTACTGTCGTAGGCGGTCACCGTGACAAAAAGAACACAGTGGTGGACTAGTACCATATATTAGGGCTTTTACTTGAATGTGATTAGGATTTTTGCTCGAGTGGGATTAAGGTTTTTACTCAAGTGTGTGTAATCTGACTCCACAATTGCCGTGCTGCAAGGACGAGCGATCAGCCCGCACAATGTCCATGTACGCGGAAGTGTTAAAGACTAAACTGACTCATTCCCTGGTTGCCCCTACCGTCTCCCAGGAGGTCCGGACAGTGGAACATGCACGGGAGGCGGACAGAGTGGAGCCGGAATTGATTGCAACTACGGCCAACATGAAAAAATTTGCAGCTATCAATTTGACTCAAGCATCACCAGATTAGGGGGGAGTTGCACTGGCTTTCTTTTAAACACTCAAGTAATAGAAGTAAGGCTGGATGAGGATAAAATTAAAAAGGAAATGGATTTCCTTCAACGATGTGTTGTGATCACGTACTTTGTAGGAGGCAGATCCACGGCCAAGATCCTACAAGCCTGGCTAGGTCACTTGAAATCTGAAGTGCACGAGGAGCTTCAATTCGGTAGTGACCTAGGTCACAGCTTCTTTGATGTAGTATGCAATGATGAGGTAGAGTCATAGAAGTTACTTATGAGAATATCACATCACTTCCAATAGGGACTTGTATTATCCAACCATAGATGGCAAGATTTAATTCAAGTTGTTTCGTTGGCATGCAAATGCTGACTTGAATAACAATGAAAGCCATTCTAGACAAATTAGTGAGCAGCACAAAAAAACTTGCATTATGCCTTGGATCAGTGATCAAGCAAGATTGAAACAATAAAATAGAGTTTGATTAAAGGTTTTATATTGCTCTTACAGATGGAAGTTTGTATCTTTTTATAATTGGAGCATTCAATTTGATAAATTTAAAGACAATGAAGGTGCAAGTGAATTATAATAAAATATCCATTTGGTGTAGATATTGCTTATCAACTTTGCATCTTATATGGGATTGTCTTTTATTACCAAAGCATGTAGAAATTGGAACATAGTAGAATAATCACAAGAGATAACAACCTTCAGTCAATCTATCCTAAAGGATGTTATTCCAATAGTAGCATAAGAATCCTATCTAGCTCCTATCAATTTGGAGAACCCCTCCTCTTCTGCTATAGAAGGGACCACTTCTTTACTTGTGCAAATTCCAACATGAGGATCTATTGTAAATTCTAGTAAGGTAGAGCATTGAGGAAGTATAAGAAAACCAAAAAAAATTCAATCTTCAATAGATGACATCAACATTAACAATTTATCATACACATATATTTACCTAGATAAGAAGTGTTAGATAGAAGATAAATGTAGGTAAATATGATATTATCTTATGGCAAAGCTTCTTAGAAGCTACATAAACACATATTTGACCTTATATATATTTGTAGTTGATTGGTAGGTTTGAAACTTAGTAAACAAAGCAAACCATGTATTGCACGTGTTGGTAGCTTATGATATAAGTTAAAAATGTGGCGTCTATATTAGAAACTTGCTTTGCAAGTTAAGACATGTGTCTTGTAAAGTCAACACATAATAGAGGTCCTGTAGAATATTGTTACATAGCTCCTAATTAGATAGTATTAATGGAGACAAAAGTGAAGCCTTCTTCAGTGTTGTCAAAGCCTTTCTAGCCTTTAGTCTTGTTTGAAGACTTTCTCATCTTCTTGTTTTAGGCAATAGTCATTCTAGTTCAATATATTACTATCTTTGAGTGATTTTACTAGTCTTTTTGAGTGACATAAGAGTATATTAAGATTTTTTTTTTTTGAAATTCATGTCCTTAATAGTTTGACAAAAGTCTTAATTTATTATTCTTATTTTATTCTAAAAATGAGTGAATTATTCTACTTTTATTGTTGTATTTTTTATGGTTATAAATTATCTATTTTTAAATAAATAATTTTATTTTATAACACTAATTTTTATTTGATATCAGAAGTTGCAGATTATTTTCTCCTAATTTAATTTTTTGAATTTGTTCGGATTGTCAATAAAAAAAGAAAAAATTATGGATGCTACTCTTGATAGAAGAAAAGATAGCTTTGCAATTATTGTAGATCTTCACAAGTATATCAACACTCTTAGGGTAAAAATTTCATGTATTTTCAATGTGAATCATAGAGCTACCATTCCTACTTCCATCAAAGAAATCAACAATGAAGTTTAAAGTTTGCACCTAGAAGTTATATAATTAAGAGAAGCAAGTAGATTAAGTTCACAACTAAATCCGGAGAGTCTTATTACTATAAGTATAAGGGAGACAAGGATAAGTATATAAGAGAAGTTTGATGGAATAAAATTAAAATTATGAGGGTTTTTATAATAAGTAAAGCTCTATTTAAGATTGTATCCTTTTCAATATCCTCATGGATTTATTTAGTCAGATTCATAAGAACACTTTTTTTTAGGAGTATTCTTTTTTAATTTATACCTTTGATGGAAAAGATTCACAATTATTCTATAATTTGAATTCATTCTTGGAAGTGTTTATTACTATATTTTAAAAAAGTGATCTAAAAAGAGGAATAGAAATCAAACTTAAATCTTTACAACAAGGATCCTGTTTAGCCACCATATATGTTGCTAAATTCTAAAATCTTACTTGCTATGTAGATTGAAATGACAAAGTCTATATCAATCAATTTTGATATAGGTTGAAAAATAATGTTGAAGATTTATTGTTGACAATATTGACAGCAAATTCATTAGAATAATTTGTTGCTTAAGCCATTGCATATAGTAATTGATTCTTTAAAAGACAAAAAGAATAAAGATTTGGTTGAAAAGGTACAACTCAAGCTATAACAATACCTTTTAAATTTTTAGAAGCTTATTTGTATAGGCCAAAGCCCATATAAATTAATACAATATATTCTAAATTTCTTTTTTAGCAAAAAAAAGACTTATTATTTTTAAAAAAGATTATACCTATATTTTGAAGAATCCAAGCACACTACTTAATATTATCCAAAAATATAACATAATTACAAAATGAGGAGCATAATTGTCAAAATAGATAATATATCTAAAAGCAAGTTTTTCCAACTATAATAGAGATCGTGCAGCTAGAATCTTATATAATATCTTGTTTCACAATAAAAGTTTTTTTAGGACCAAAAAATCACAAAGTCTTAGCCTTTTTAGATTCAGGAGATTCAATGTGTTTTTATAAACAAAGACTTTGTCAAAAAATAAAAATATCTTTAATTTAAAAAATCAAATTTATACATGTAGAAATAATAGATAGTTGTTTGTTGCCTTCCAGAGATGTTATATATGAAATTATTCTTTTAGACGTAGTAACTAGTAATCTTAATAATTTAATAATATCTAATGTCATTAATTTTTTTTAATCAAATTATTTTTGGATGATTGTGGCTAAAAAAGTATAATCTTCAAATAGATTAGATTTCTTATAATCTTGATTTTTTCAATAATTTAGTCTAAGATTTTATTAGAAAATTAAAAATTTATAAGATCAATATATTCAAACTATTATTAGTAGGTGTAATAACTTTTATGCATGTTGCAAAAAAAATTTTAACTTTTGCTATATGCGCCACATCTATTATTGATAGAGAAAAGATTTCAAGTGGCATTCCAAACTAATATTAAGATTATTAAGATGTTTTGGAAAAAAAATATAGATATTCTTTTAGAACATCATTCCTATCATTGTTTCTTTGATCTTTATGAAGTAATTCAATCACCATTTGAATCAATCTATAGTCTATCTTAAAACAAATTGGTTGCATTCTAAAAGTATATTGATGAAAATTTAGCTAAGAATTTTATATGCCATTCTAAATCTCTAATAGGAGCTCTTATCTTATTTGTGAAAAAAAAAAGACAAATCTCTGCAGATAAGTGTGGACTATTAAGGATTCAACAAGATTACCATCAAAAATAGATATCATCTATTTTTGATTTAAAGATTTTTAGATCAATTGAATCAAGCCAAGATCTATACAAAAATAGATCTATGATGAACATATAATCTGGTATGTATTAAAAAAAAAAAAAATGCATTTTGAACTAGAAATGGGCATTTGAAATATAATGTCATATCTTTTGGACTTTTAAATGTACTCGATGCATTTTAACAACTAATGAATAATGTCTTTTGTGAAATTTTTGATGATTTTATGGTTTGTTATTTAAAAGATATCTTAATCTACTCTAAGAGTATAAAAGAATATGAAGTTTATATTTATTTTATTTTACAAAAACTAAAAGATATATGATTATATGTAAAGATGAAAAAGTTTATATTTCATACTACTGAAGTTGACTTCTTAAGATACATTATTTCAAATGATGGTCTTATAATAGATCCTAAAAAGATTCAAACTATTATGGATTAAAAGATCTTAAAAATAGTTAGAGATATATAATATTTTTAATTTTTTTAAAATTATTATCAAATTTTTATTAAAAACTTTCTTCAAAATACAAATCCTTTTGCATATTTGACATGTAAAGCCAAACTTAAGAAGAACAATGAAGTTGAAGCATCTTCTAAAGCCTTAAAGATAGTATTTAATTTTACACCAATCTTGAATTGCATCGACTTTTCCAAGGCATTCTTTATAGAAATTGGATGTTTTGGATACAATAAGACTTTGGACTTAATATCAAGAGATTTTCAGTGGCCTCAAATATAAAAGGCACTTAAAAACTTTATATAATTATGTGACATTTTTTTAAGATCAAAAACTCCTTGTTATCAACCTTGTAGACTTTGTTAGCCATTATCTATTTCAAAACAACCATGGTCTTCTCTTTCTATAGATTTTATCATAAATCTTTTAATCATAGATTTATATGATAATATATTTATAATAATAGATCTTTTTACCAA